TGTCTTTAAGACCCTTAGGGGGAAAAAATTGGAGTGAGTTTCCTTGAAGGGAAAAAGGAATTGTAAATATGGGCAACTTTTGCATCCTAAAGCTGCAATTTTTAAAAAAAAATGCAATTTATATATAATTTTCAGCTAGGAATGGTGGCATATACCTGTAATCACAGCGCTTTGGGAAGCTGAGGCAGGAGAATCTCAAGTTCAAGACCCACCTGGGCAAGTAAGATCTTGTCTCCAAAAAAATTAAAAGATTAAAAAAATAAAAGGGCTGGGGATGTAGCTTTGTGGCAGAGTACCCCTGCGTTTGATCCCCAGTAGCCCATCCCTACAGATTTTCCTTTCCATCTATCTTTATTTCTCCTATCCTAGGTCAGGGAGATCTGGAATGAAGCCAAAGACTTTGCATCTCAGGTATGTGACCAGGCAGGTTCGCCCAAACTGTAGAGGAAATTCTATCAACTTTGCTACCAACTTGCAGAGAAGTCCTATGTGGCCCTTTCCCTCCACACAGTAAGGGCACACCAGCTAGTTCTAGACATGATTGATACTGTAATGGCAGAACAACCTCTAAGTCAACCTCTGTGCCCAGCAGATATGGAGGCCAAGGCTAAATGCACCTTCCCCTTGAGACCAGGAGACTCACACCTGCATCTACAAAGTGCAGCTTCTGCCTTTTACCTTCACTGAATGGAAAATGGCTCATGGGCTGCCAACTGCAGACCCACCAAGGAATACTTTGGATGGCTGCAGTGCAAGGGTAGTTTTCTGGCTTACTCCATAAAAAGGGATTCAATGGCACAGAAGTCACTGGAGGGGTCTCACAGTTTGACAATGACCAGCAGCCACTCAGTGCAGCAGCCAGTGAGGAAGGGACCTGCTCTCCTTTGTTTCTGCTTGGTTTCCTGGGGCCCTGGAAGTCTCGAAATGCCTCTGAGCAAACTTTTCTGCCTCTCAAAGCTGTACCAGCTTCAGCTACTGTCCTCTCCATGAGGTGGGGTCACTGGATTTTCACTGTACCTTTAAGTACAGTGGTCACTGCTGATTTTCCTGTACCTTTTAAGTGCAACAAGAAGAAAGACCTTGTGCTTCAGCTCTGCCTGCCCATATCACACCCAGCCCAGCTCTGCCTCTCATTCCTCTGGTTTGGTTAAAGCTTGCAGAGTCCCACCTTCTGTGCAGTTTACTTTCAGTCTGTCTTACCCAGGCTACCTGCTCTTGATATTAGCTTGCATCACTCTGGCTAAGCTAAAGCAGGTCGCTGAGTGTATCAATGCCTTCCACACATCACAGACCCATGTTCTTCCAAGCTTGCCTTTCACAGGAAGTCCGCTTCCCCTCTTTTTGGAGGTATAGATTGTATAAAATCAAATGCCTAAATCTGAAGTTTATAGTTTAATTAATTTCTAGGTATGTAAGTCATGTAGATTAGGCTACAGAACATTTCCATCACTCTGGAAGATTCCCTTGCACCCTTTCTAATCAATAACCATCCCGATTCCTGCCAGAGCAAAGCACAATTCTGACTAATCCCCGTGTGTTGGTCTTTCCTGTTCTCCTAGCATCTTACTTCATCCTGAAACAATTCTTTGTTTTACAAATTAAAAATAAGCACAAATATGTTGGTTTTTCTAATCTGGTCCAACCTGATTATCACCATCCCTATACTTGAGAGAGGGGGGGTTGGGAGATTGTTTGTAATCCCCCCACCATGTCCTTCTTGAAAGGGGTGCCAACCTGGACATAAAGTATGGTGCAAACCAAGACAGAACACACACCTTAATAGCAAACAGTGTCATGGCTCCTGGAAATCAAAGACCAGATTATAAAAACTGAGTTCTTACTATTTGATGTTAAACCAACAAAACAAAAACAAAACAAACCCCAAAAATACCCAAAGGGGTTTTTCCTGCATGATAATGGGACTGTAGTTACATTTTGTTTTTGTTTTTTTTTGAGTCTCACTTTGTAGTTCAGACTGGCCTTGAACTCACTCTTGTACCCCAGGCTGGCCTCTAACTCACGGCAACTCTGCCTCGGCCTCTCAAGTGGTCATACACTACTGCTCCTGGCGTGTAGTTATGCTTTTAAAAGACAGAGTTGACTGGAACTGGGCTGTGACAGGAGCACATAGAGGTATAGATGAAAAAGACCAGCCACTGGGCTGTTAAGTATTAAAATTTTGTGCATCAAATTCTAATGAATAGTAGGCTATTCTACTCTTTGAATGTTGGAAAATTTCCACAATAAAGAGAAAAAACAATCTTCAATTTTTCCCCAATGAAGTATACATATAAAGGTTCCCATGAAATTATATAACAGAATGAATGACATTATCATCCTTGACCTCCTAGTGATCTAAGCAGGGGTCCTTGGGCCCGTGGGGGTCAGGTTCTTGCTCTTGCTAGGCTTCCCCCAACACTTATAGGAGAACCAGTTTGTGCCATGAACTGCAGAGCCCTGTGGAGGCTGGCTCCAGGTCACTTCTCTGGGCTCATCAGCATGGTTCTCCCTGACTCACTGGGCTCTATCACATCACGCTGGCCTCCCTGCTGTTCACGGAGCATGTACCCCAAGTGTGTGTGGGCCTTGCACCTCCTGTGGCTTCTGCCTGGAAGATCTCCCAGATCCTCACAAGCCTCCATTTTGGCAATGGTCACCTCCTGAAGGAACTTTCTGTCTTAGTCTATGTTCTTTCTTGCTAATAACACAATACCACAGACTGCAGAAGGCTCTGGGAAGATAAACACCAAACACAAAGCAGTAGTTACCTATCAGTAGGGGTCTAGGACAGGGGAGACGAGAGACTTGAGCTCAGTATGTCATGCCCAATTTTCTCTTAAAGGAATCCATTTGTAAATTTCTGGCCCAGTAAACAATTAATTTAAAAGTGCTGAGAACTGAAAAGAAATGTATCTAAATACTGTTTAATGGGAGGGGAATAATGGTGATTTAAATTTTTTTTCCTTCAACTTTTCTGTATGTTCCAAAATTTCCTATAGAGGATGGTATATTTATAGAAGAATGAACAAGATTTAAAACACATCTTAAAAATAAACAGGTGTTATTAGGAAGATCTGACTAAAGAGGTAATATTACACCTTATTAATAGGAATAATCACCCTTATCACAGAGTAATGTAACTCATAAATAAAAATATAACTCAGCAATAAAAAGTATAAACTAAATGAATGAAAAATGCTTCACGAGTGACTATTCTTTTGAAAGAGGACTTGCACTCACGTACACATACACATTTAAATTGTATAATAGGTAAAAAAGAAAATAGTTGTTTGGGAGATTATGGTTAAAATTTTAATTTTATAAACCTTGTATTTAAAAACATAACAGATTTAAAAACATGCAGATGCATTTACAACTTCAAATCATTTTATTGGGTTCCTGTAGCCTTCTAACTCAGGTGGGTGTTTTACTGGTACCCAGTAAATCTTGTACCCAAGGTATCAGCTGCTTCATGAATAGCCACATGCATTACTTTCATGCCTCCTGCACTCACAGGATTCTTAGATAGTTTTCAAACAAATGGCATTTCTTAAAATATTAACTGCACTAAAGTAAAAACTCTAACCTATTCAGATCTGTGAGACCTGACTGAATGGCAGCCCTGACTTTGATTTCCCAGGATGCAGAGTCAAGAGGTTGTCCCTCTGTCCCATGGAACCCCAGAGTTGGATGTGTTCACATTGTCACCCCAGGCATCGCATAGCAGTGGAATGAGCAGGAACCAGAATAGAAATTGAGACTCAAGTTTTGTGCCTAATAATCTAGGCATGCCCTTTCATTGAAAAGGATCATTTCGGAGGCCCCCAGCCCTGCCTCTATCCTCCTGGCTCTGAGCCTTTAAGCTTGACACTGGAATAAAGAGCAAGTGAAACATTTCTTAAAAACTGCTGTTCCCTTTCTGGATCATTACTCAAGCTCCAACCTGCAACAGCTGAGAATGAAGACTACATTTTATGTGAGAGCAAGCTTGCTGCAAAGTGATCCACACAAATGTCTGTGGCTTAAAACAGACCATCTTTTTAAAACGTTTGACATTTTAGATCTTTAATCTCTTTCTTGTTAGAAGAGACCAGTCTTAAAGTTCCTCACTTTCTTGGTAAGGTTCCTGAGAAAGTCATTCCAAACCAACTACTTTTGGGATGAACTAAATCTTGTATTGTTTAATGAATAAGTTATTGTACTGGTTTGCTAGGGCTGCCTTAACAAAACACCACAGAGTGGTTAACCGGACATTTATTTTCTCAAGGTTTGGAGCTTTTAAGTCCAAGATCAAGATGCTAGCTGGGTTGTTATTTCTGGAGGCTTCTCAAGACTTGTGGATCTCTCCTGTGTTTTCATGTGGTCCTCTCAGTGTGTTGTTTTCTTATTCTCTTGACATCAATAATATTAGCTTAGGGAGGACCTATCACAATAGCTCCATTTTAATTTACTTACCTCTTTAAATCCCAATAGAGTCATGTGTTAGGGACTTCGACCTAAGAGTTTTGGAGGACACAATTCAGCTTAAATAATTAGTTTTCTTCCCCGCCCCCCTTTGATACATGTATGGTGGTACCTTGGTTCACAAACACATTTGTGAATAATTTGGTTCAAAAGCAGAACTGTTTGGCAAAATTTTGGTTTTGTTTGCAAACTCTGCCATCAGGTGATGAATACAACCATGGCCATCTTTTTTGCACGAACACGAACATGGTCATTTTCCCCAGAATTGTGGGCCTACTTAAGTTCATGAACTGGGGTACCATTGTATTAAGTTTAACATTTAAGTGTTGAGCTGTCCCCAGCACCTGAGTCGCCAGAGATACTAGTTTGGAATGCAGGTCTCTGAATCCTACCCAAGACTCAGTGAATCAGCTCTGGCCTGGGAGCTTGTATTTAATGAGCACCCATCTATCCACTCAATGAGGGTCTCTGTGCTGTGTGCTATAGGCTGGTACCCACACATCCACTCTTTACCCAGGAGAGAAGTCATGCTCGTCCAAGTTGCAAATCTGAACACACTTTTATTTCACACATAGTAAAATCTGGTAAGTGCAGAAAAATATTCTGCATCGCATTTTCATGATCAATCTTCTTATTTCCATTTGGCATAGAAAATCTAGCAGATCATTCAGTCAGAAAAAAAAAAAAATCACAAAAAAACCCATGGAGGAATCAAACTAATGGTTTTCTCCAAACAGTAGATTTTTCCTCCTCACTGGTCAAATCAGCATCTGCTGATGGAGGAATGATATGCAACATGACAGTGATGCTGGTTATCACTAAATTTTTGCTTTCAAGTTTAAAGATTAACTTTGAATAGCAGAGAGCCTGACCTAACAGTTATTAGCCACAAAGAACTCAAGATGAGAAAAGCAAGAGCACTATGGAAATTACATTCTTTTCTGTAAAATTCAGCTCTACAATCTGTATAAGAAAGGGTCCAAGACACTGACAGGTGGCAATGTTGCTCAGAGGGCCCTATTCCCAAGGGGACTTGCACCACAAGCCTCTCCCTGCTATGGCGCAGTGAGGTAGGCTCTCCACTGGCCTTACTTTAACTTGGTCCTCTGGACCCACAGTGGCTACTTGGGAGACTGGTGCAATCTTCAGTTCCAAGAATCTTGGCTGAACTCTAGGTAATATGCTGTGTAAAATACATATGTTTTCATGGTATGAAGGCCATTCTTTAGGTTGCACATATGTATATACTAGTTCTTGGGAAGACAAAGCTTCCTTCCTCTTTGGCGAAAGAACACTCTACCCAGCAATGCAGCTTTGGCTAGCTCTTCTTCATATGTGCCTTCTTGTGGGCCCGCATGTGTGCAGCAATCGAACCAGCTATTTCTGCATTCTTCTTGTTCTGGCCAAAATAATCTAAAAACTCACCATCTGGTCCAATCAAGTACATTATTATTGTATGATCCACCTGCAGAGACAAGGGAGGAATGTGTGACAAAAAGATCACCAACATAAGCTGCTTATTTTACTGAATGAATGCTGCAGGATAAGAGAACTTTTTGTTAACACCTAAATAAGCATTGCAGCATCTATTATTTACAGAACAAGCCTATGCTTATTATAGAAAATTCACAGCAATGGAGAGCCTAAAATTTTTTGTGTTCCAGAAATCTGCACCAGCTATCGTTCGTAACACCAGCGAGCATCTGTAATTCCTTGAATCTTTAACATACTCAGGCATGAAGTCTCTGGACAAAGCACTCACCTTCTAGGATATGGTTGCTGCTGGTCTTTATAAAATGCTTATGGAATAGTACACTTTTGAGTAAAAATCTCTCCTTTGTCTCCTTAATCACAGTATAAAGAGATGCCATATGAAATTAAAGTGCTTCTGAGAAACTACTTTCTTTAGTAAGTTCTTGTATATATTCTTGTATGTTTTAAGAAGAACTGGTTCTCAATCATTACTGCCTAGCTTCTGCTTATCATGTTTTAAGTGAAGTCAGAAAGCTAACCACTGGTTCAATTCTAAAATCTATAAATCCTAACATCATATTTAGTCCTGATATTAGTAATTCAGTCACAAACAGGAAGATGTGTTTTTCTCTACTAAAAAATTTTTATATCCTACACGGAACAATCCTGTCTGAAGTAAATCATCTGGAAATGCCTCAGAAGCCATAAATGGTACACCCCCGAGGAGTCCTCTTCAATCTATCATCTATTTCTCTGACAAAGTTCTTAAAACATTCTTAGCTCTAACTGAAGTTTAGATTGGTCATCATTGTTTTTAGTTAGTTGCTTCCACAAAATCCAATTTTAAAAGAGCCAATTTGGCACTGTAAGTTCGAGGAATTTATTGCAGTCTTGACTGCCATTTGGCAAGACAGGAAGAAAGAAATGTGATCACACATACCAAACTAGAGACACTCCCCTAAAGATACCCTGACACACATTATATGTCTGTGAGGTTATTCCTTTATATATATACACATTCATAGGAGACAGCAAATGGAAAGAGCCACTTGTCTACCCCATAAGGAAAGAATGCCACTGAGAGAGTTCCAACAGCTGGTGAATTCATGTGTTGTGAAAGGATTTACCGTAGGGCAAGATGGGGCTTGATGGTCTCCACACATTTGATAGAAAAATCAGAATTAAATCTCCAGATCTTCCTTCTAGACTTACTCTGCAGTTTACATCTCTCCTTTCCCCATTTCTTCTTTTTCTCTAGTCTCTTCCTTAAAAAGCAGAATTGTAGTATGTGGGACTTATTTTCTGAGTGTTTTTAATGTAAATTATTTCTTATACATAAATAGAAACCTTCTATCCATATCTATCAATCCTGTCAGTGATCACTTCTTAGTATTCATTTGGGATGGGGACAGAACAAATTGATATTTGTTCTACTACAGAGGTACTCAAAATTCTAGCCACTCCTAATATAGAAGAAGTAAACAAGGAATTATTAACACATCCATTCATGTCACCTCACACCTGAGACAGGTATACAACAGGCTGGAGTGCGTAAATTGTATAACCAGTGAATGCCTGACCTGAGACCTCTGCCCATTTTCAAAATCACAACCTTATCATGCTATCATCATGTTGCCACCATCTCTAATTCTACTGGAAAACAGCAACTCAGTTTTTCTCATGTGTAACTTTCAAAAATATGTATTTTTATTGTTTGAAATGGTATATACATGCACAAAAAAATGCAGTACCTTTATATACTTCTTTCTATTCTGAACTCCCAGCGTATCTCAGTTATTTTCAGAAGGGACCACTGTACTTTTCAAGAGGTATGTTCTGCATTTACTGTTATACATGTATATGTATACATCTACTACTACCTATTTTTAAACACAAGTAACATGTCATAATTGCTTTCTTATTTAACTATATATGTCAGTGTTCTAGATCAGTCCAGGTATAGCTTTTTAAAGAATAGTTGCAGTGGGCATGGTGTCACATGCCTATAATCTTAGCACTCTGGAGGCTGAGGCAGGAGGATCACAAATTTGAGGCCAGACTGGTGCAACTTAGTAACTTAGTATCTCAAAATAAAAAATAAAAATGGCTGTGATGTAGTCAAGTGTGAAGGCCATAGGTTCAATCACCAGTAATGCAACTAAACACAAATGAACAAAAACAACAATAAAAGCATTGTTCCAAATTAACTCCAACTGTGTATTTCCTAGTTTTCCAATTTTGACAAAAGGTTTTCAAACTTTTTGACCATATCTTAAGTAATGAGTGAAAAATGGCATCTCATTAAACTCATATTTCTTTTATTGTGAAACAGCATCTTGTGTTTGAAAGCCAATTGTATTCTTTTTTCAAAAGTATTTCCTAATTTTGATAATGCAATAACATACAGATTTAGATTTCTAAGGAATCCTAAATGTTTGGCATGCTCGTTTATACATATTATCAGTATGAAGACTCCATACAAAAATTCTGTAAGTTTACCTCCTATTGCTCTTGCCTGAGATTATGAAAATCTCATTCCATTATAACTCAAGGTTAATCTTTAAGGCACCCCATCACTCATGGGTCCTTAAATCTTAGAAGTTTCTCAGACCATCTCCTACATAAAAATCGGAGGCCTCAAAGCACAAATTCATAATGAAAGCCTAAGAAGCTGGAGAGTATCTCCCCCTATTGGTTGAGTTAGCAAATGTACAGCAGTGAATTCACTTTTGTCAAAAGGTCAAATTCTTATGGCAGTTGACTAGTATTATCTCAAAACAGGATGAATTATAAAAGGTCAAAGAAGTCTCCATAAGTCTTGCATATTTTCATTTTAATTTTTAAAATAAAAAAACTAATATCCATGTTCTGCATTATCTGTGTTATGAGTACAAATTTCAGGGCCCAAACTTGTGTTTATGGCTTCACTGCTACCTGGCTGTAAACTACTAGTTTATAAGCAGATCACATGAAAATGTTATGTTTTTGCTGCATCAAGATCAACCAGTCAAAGAATAGTACACAATCAAAGATTCCAAAGTATTTAAAAAGGAAGAGAAAATTGTGGAGGGGCGGTTGATGGTATAGTTGGACATCTGACACAAAACCCATTCCTAGGAGCACTGTTTTGGTTTCAGTAAAGTATCTCATCACTTTAACTGAATGTTTTAAATTTGAGTTTTATAAGCTGTTTGATTTTATTTATAACATTTCTGACTATAGTCATGAACTGTTCACACAAGATGAAAGAGTACTAACTAGTTTAGGATTGTAAGTGTTTACACAACTTAACAAAAATCCGTTAAGACTGAAGTCAGACTGAAGTGCTCCACCATTCCCACTGTCATCCCCAGTTAAACTCCAAACCAGTTAATGCAATTTGTAGAAAAGTAAAGAAGTCTGAAAAGTCCTTTTTTGCCCATGGCTCCCTCTCTTAGCCCCTGCTCCCCTCTGTTCTTCTCTCTTGCTTCTCATGCTGCCAGTACAGCAAGAGGAAACCACAGCAGGGTCTATCTACTTTCCTTAAACTTAGGGCTAAAAGGAAAAATGCTTTTTTCTCTTGTCCTTTTCTCTCATGATCCAAGTTTCCCTAATGCTATCAGGCATCAGATCTGGGAGGTATGATTACTGTGTAGGCTTATTTGAGGTAGAGGACCCAGAAGCCTTTTAATTTAGGCCTTTGGGTACACAAGCATACAATGTGCTCTGGGTTCAGTGACGGAGAAGTCACAGTGGGCAGCAGAGACAAAGTACCACAGTGAGATGTCACCTCTGTGTGTTGCTCTAGGGACAAGCTGGTGGATCCATGATTCAAGGTCCTAGCCATCGTTCTTTCCATAAAGCCAGTTTTGCAGCTGGAAAGCCTCTTATGATTAATCACTTTGCCCAACTAATATTATGGGAAAACCAGAGTATGAAAAAGAAATCTGCAATACTACAATACAGTATCAAATCTTAATGCGATAGGAAACTGTCCATACTAAAAGAAAACTCTGTGGGCAGGGGCAGTGTTTATGCCCTTGTTGCTACAACATGAAAGTACCGATAAGAAAAAGAACAAAGTAGCTTGGGCATCAGTTTAAGATTTGTGGGGCAGCACCAATGAACACGAAGACAGCTCTTTAACGCAAGTGCTACAGGAATACAACTTAAGAGAACTTCTGTTCATTATTAAAAAAGCATATAGTAAACCTAATTGTTCAAGGCACACAGCTGATATCCAAGTAAACCTTAGAGAAAGCCTACTTTCTGATAGCTTGCATCTTTCCTCTTGATTTTCAGAATATTCATTCAACCTCAACTTGCAATTCCCCGTGGCCTAGAACTGCTTTTATAAAGGAGGATGGATATTCTTACACCTCCTCATTGAGGACTCAGAGATCACCAATACAGTGTTTTTACCTGCTTAACAGTTTACTCTAGCGTCACTCGGGGCAGCATGTTTCTTTACATACCAACTATCTCGAGTGTCACCTGGGCAGGTGTCATTTCAACCAGTAGATTCTTATGTTGAATAAATTTGATAAAATTGTTGTTTTTATATGTCCTGTTATATTACCTTATAAAATTAATGAAAAAATATGCAATTTTGAGTCATCTTGTATTTAAATAATTGGACTGGTAAGTGGTTAAAATGAAACTAAAACAAGCTTTTTCTCCATTTGATGGTCCTCTTTATTTCCAACATTGTATCCAAATAATGATTTTATAGTGACTCAAATTTTATGCACCACTAGAAAAGAAGTACAGGCAATTAAATTATGAGTAGTGAAGATAAACAATCATCTTTAAAAATAATGCTTATTTTCTTTCAAATATCCAAAATTCTCAAGGAATCTGTAATAATCTCAGAAGCCAGCTATTTAAAACTATATGAATATTTGGGGTCTGGGAGCCAGCCCCTGGGTGGAAAGCTAGGTATTAACTTACTATGTAGTCTTCATCTTCATCCTTGGGGCCAGGGCTGTAATATACTCTGTATGCTCTGGCCACTTGATCAATCTCCTCTTTTGTGCCAGTCAAGCCAATCAGTTTGGGAGAAAATTCTAAATAAAAAATGAGAAAGGTAAAGAAAAATGAGAAGCAAACAAAATAGCCATCTCTACCTCAAAAAAACAATACCTGCTATAAGGCAGCCCTAGTGTTTTCTTCCTGTGAGTCCTCAAACATTTCTTTTTTATTCAAGGGAAAAGAAATTCACATAGAACAAACTGAGCTGAGGGGCGGGGATTTAGCTCAGTGGTTTCACCTCCTGCCTAGCAAGCACAAGGACCTGAGTTCTATCCCCAGTACCAAAACAAACAAATTGAGCTGAGCCTGGTGGCCCATGCCTGTATCTCAGCACTTGGGAGGCTGAGGGAGAGGGATCACCATGAGCTCAAGGCCAGCCTGGGCTACATAGTGAGTTCAAGGCCAGCCTGAACTACATAGTGAGACCCTATCTCTGAAACCAAACCAGAACAAAACAAAAAACAAAGAACAAATGAAAATTCTTCTTTGTAATATATTGTATGTCAATTTTTTATGATGGTCTAGTAAAGATCTGGAGGGAATAAATTTAGTTATTTAATTCACATTTTCAATTCGTTTAAAAAATACATGTAGTTGACATAGTCAAGTTTAAAACTATTATTATGAATTATGTACCACAGTTTTTCACTGAGTCATGAAAAAAAGTTTGCTTCACAATTAAGATCATATCACACCACACCAGATTATTTGCATCTTGTTTTCTAGCAAATAATCTCAATACAGGTACCAGGTTCTACTTTTACTTTTGATAAGGAACTGAACAATTAATATTCATCATTCCAAAACAACAATTACAATAAAGTTCAGGGCTAGGAGTAAGTCACTCATATTACGCATGTGCTGTTAGGTTGCTGGAATGTACATAAGTGGCTCAGTGGAAAAAGTCACTTAAAAAAACTGGATTCATGAGGTTACTGAAATGACAGTTCAACATTTGACAGGACCTCCTTCTTCTAAAAGTATAGAAGCCTTTGTTCCTTGGCTAATTCTTTTTAAGTTGGCTACTAAATTATTCAGGTGCTGAAGAAAGCAGGCTGTCTTGTCTGTCTTTTCTGCTCACTCGAGTAAATAATAAGGGTGAGTGAAGCCTGAGTTAGCTACATATCCAAACATATTTTAACTGAATTGCTGAAACTGCAATATTTTCTAAACACTAACTTAAAATTTTTCACTCTTCCACTTGAAAAACAGAATTAGTAATGCATGTGCGTGCTGTTGAAGAAAAGTATTGTAAGGTTTTGGCATTTCAGTTAGGTATGGCAATTTACATGTCTACTCATTTGGGGATATTATGGTTCAGTTAATATATGATAAAAATAACTGCCAATATAACACATTTAAATGTATTACCCAGTGAGTATATTATATGTGGTGCTTTTTATTGCTTTATGAAAAAACTTTGTTATTGCTCAAATTTCTGACAAACCTGCAAATTGTGGGCATAAATTATACTTAAATATATAAGTAAAACTATAAACTTTAAAGAGAAAACATAACCCTTGTAACCTTGTGTTAGGCAAAGATTTCTTATATATCAAACAAAAAGCACTATATATAAAGAATAAGCCAATATATTTGGACTTAAGCTCACAAAATGTGGGGAAAAGATGTGGACACCAAGGACATACAGATAACAAGAGGATGAAGGTTCTGAGTGTTAATCTTCATTACAGGTATCATTAAAATCATAATAAAATACCACCACAAGCCTACCAGAGTGGCTACAATTAAAAAGACTGCCAGCAGCAAGTGTGGTCAGGATGTACAGAAACTGAAACTCTCACCACTGCTGGCCACAGATGTAAAAATGTACAACCATCTTAGAAAACAGTTTGTCAGTTTCTTCCAAAGCAAAACATACACTACCTGACCCAACCACTCCACATGTAGGTGTGTACTCTGGAAAAATGAAAGCATGTGTCCACACAAAGATTTGTACATGAATGCCATCTGCAATAGCCAAAAGCTGGAGAAAACCCAAATGTCTACTAATGGACTAGGGCTCAGCAATAAAAATGAACAGGCTATGAACATGCTACAACATGGATGATTCTCAAAATAGTTTTTTAAAAAAAGTATAGTCTGTATAATTCCATTCACATAAACTTGTGGAAGGCAAACTAGCTTATTTTGACAAAAGCAGTTTAATGGTTGTCTGGAGATAGGAGGCAGAAAAGGGAATTGGGGTATAGAATTAGAAAGGGCACAAAGAGCCAGGCATGATGGCCTATGCCTGTAATCTCAGCTCGGGAGGCTTAGCATGAGTTTGGTTTGATTAGCCTAAGCCACATAGTAAGACCCTGTGTCGCCCCCCTGCCCAAACCAAAAAGTTCTACTCCTCTTTCTTCTTCTCCTCATCTCCTCCCTCCAGCCTTCTTTCCTCTTCCAGTGCCAGGTACTGAACCCAGGGCCTCAAGTATGCTAGACAAGTGGTCCACCACTGAGCTACAGTACTAGTCCTGACAGGATCATTTTCTTGATTGTGGTGATGGTTTCACAGGTGCATACCCACATCACAAGGTAATAAACTATACACTTTAAATATGTACTTTTTTTTTTTTTTGGTACCGGGGATCGAACTGGGGACCTTACGCTTGCAAGGCAGGCACCAGAACCACTGAGCTAAATCCCCAGCCCTAAATATGTACTTTTTATTATACACCAATTATACCTCAGTAAATCTGTTAAAATAACAGACCCTTCACAAAACAATTTTAAAATAATCTCAAAGTTCTACAGGATATGCATTTCCATGTGTCATAAAGTAGGCATTAGTTTTTCTGATCAGTCATTAAATCAATTTCACAATACTTTAAATTCAAATTGATTTTTAAGCACTTACACTGAAGAAGCTTGAGTTTACAGAAAGTAAACTTGCCTAACCTTACAGATAAACTAGAACCTGAGGACTCACCCTCAATTCTACTACAATTTATCATCAATAAAATCACCTAGTAGATTTTAATCTGCCTGTACTGAGACATTTGAATCAAAATTTGTACATTAAAAATTATGAAGATGTTTCTGTCACAGTACATGTTTTGGCTTTTCAAAACACGTTGAGTTCAAAGTATGTTTACATCTAGTAATTCATCTTTAATCTTCCAATGTATACATTCTCAGAATGTGTGTTTCTCCTAATTTTACCAAAAGAGAATGAAGTACAGTACTAGAATTAGAAGCAATATATCTTTACTCCTAATTCAAGGCTCTATGAACTTCGTTGACACGAAGTTCAAGTCCAAATCCCTCCTCTCTGACAAAAGAAAAAGAGTGCTGCACAAGGAACTGAGAAACCATTTTCTCATTTATGTATCGACTAGCCATAGCCAAAACTCTGAGCACCCTCCATTTATTTGCCTGTAAAATCAGTCCATTTGTTCTGCCTATTTCACGAGGCATGATAAGGTCCAAATAAGTTGATATTTCAAAAACTGCAAGAGCTAAACAGATGTGAAGTAATTATTTGTAAAATATACCTTTCACATAATTTGCAATGGTTTCTTTTGTGTCCCTTTCTGGATCAATGGTGATGAAAAGTGGAGTTAAATCTGGCAGACTTGGAATACTATCTGAAAGAAAATTCCAATTAGTCAGTATTCATATGATAAGGGAAAAGACAAAGAAAATCAACAATGGCAGGAGAGGGTATTAAGTGCTATAGTGCGGTATTAAGGAAACACAGGGAAATCTAACATTTGAGTGGAGAAGACAGGAATGAGTAAAAGTGGATATATAACCCTGTGAAATGCCTATGCTGGAATTAAATGTTACCCTGGCTATATTCTCTTATCCAATCTAATCCAATATTTATAGTGTATTCTTCACCACTTATTTAAAAGGAGTAAATTATTTAAAAAGAGTATTCTGAAACAATTTAAGATTGTTTAAACTGGTGCTAATAAAATACTGCACCACTGACTATATATCATTGTAGATCTCCTAATCTAACTATTACTGGAAAAAAGGCAATGGGAAGACCATAATAAAGGAACACAAAAGCAAAGTTTAGGGAGGCCCTGGCCATAATGACATTTTTTTTTTTTTGGTACCAGGGATCGAACTCAGGACCTTGCACATGTGAGGCAGGCAGCAGAACCACTGAGCTAAATCCTCAGCCCTACTGACATTTTTAAAGTGATCTAACATTTAGTATCAAAATAAGCTTTCTTTGATGGCGAGTCAGGTCACACAATCAAAGCAACAAACAAGGTGAATGTTGAGATTTTATATTTTTACAGATCAAATAATTATACCCCCTAACATAACACAAAAATGTGAAAATGTAGTAACATTAAGTAAAAATACACAGTGGAGAGTTAGTAATGCCTTTCTTACCTATTTCATCCACGACTTGAATCATTTTTTCTAGTTCTTCTGGACAGATATCAGGGCAATGAGTGAAACCAAAATAAATCAATACCCACTGACCCAGGTAGTCCTTGTCAGTTTTGGGCTCTCCAATATGGGTTGTAAGGGAAAACGGTCCCCCAAGTAAAGGCTTCCCAATGCTTCGATGCCGTTTCTTCTCCAGCTCTTAAAGAGACACCAAGAATGTCATTCTAAGCACAGGTACTTGAATACTGAACATACAATCAGCGCTATTCTAATAATTGTGTGTGGGTAGGGTATAAAATATGGAGGAAGTTGTTTCAGTTTTCAAGAAATCTTTTCAGAAAAATAACCATAAAACAATAAAACAAGTTCAAATTAAATTCTATGGTATGTAGTGAGCACCATAAGAAGGTACTTTTCCTTCCAGAACAATTCAGTCCCACGTCATTAGGTGTGGCTGAGAGTGGGGCAAGGGTCAAAGGGACCTAGAACAGAGTCTGAGACCAAGTTGGGTTAAGAGTGGTGGCTGGCAGGGGATCCTGGGCCTGAGTGGGCAGTGGTGATGGGAGCTCATTTACATACAGATGATTGATTTTAAAAATTAAATATATTACAGATAAGAGAGTTACAAATGGAAAAGGAATAAAACTATGGGCAGGGAAAGAACTACAATGAACCTTGAAGCATTAGAAAGAAATCTAAAGTACTAGTCTGTTTATGATTTCAATTTCAATATAGTATATACATTCTCCAACTAAAAGGAAACAGATTTTTGGAGAAATGGCTGATAGCAGGATTGAGGCAGAAGATGAGCCTGGACCCTCTTGTGGCAGAAGTAAGGAAGAACTCAAAGAAGAGGAGATATGTCAACTGACAAGAAGCCTAACTGAAGGGGCTCCCACTAGCTAACTTGGGACACTCTGAGTATCAAAATAAAGAGAATAAACAATCACTGTATATATAGGACACCATGAGCTCATATTGACATAAATGAATAAATTCAGCATTTGACAGGAAACAACACATGCAAATAAAATGTGAAAATACCTATCACAAAATACATACAAAGTCAAATTTTCAGGAGAGAAGGCTGATAGACATCTTAATAAAATGATCAAACGGAACATTACCAATAATGAGACAAGGTGAAAATATGAGGCATCTGACTAGATGCAATGAGGACACAGCACTGCTTCTGTGATATTTCTGCCAAAGAAGCATGACTTCACTCCAACCTGGAGGAATCATCAGACAAAACTACACTCCAGGATATTCTACAAAATAAGCAGCTTGTAATCCTTAAAGCTGTCAAGGTCACAAAAGTCAGGTAAAGTCTGAGAAACTGATGGAGACTAAAGAGTCGACTAGGAATAAGGTGTGTTTCTACTATAAAAGATCTGAAGTAAGGCCAGGTGTGGTAGTGCACACCTGTAATCCCAGCACTCTGGGGCTGAGGCAGGAGGACTGCTGTGAGTTTGAGGCCAGCCTAGGGTACACAGTGAGTTCACAGCCACCCTGAACTGCATATGCCCAGACTGTCTGAAAAAAACAAAAAACAAAAAACAAAAAACCGAAAACAACAAAACCAGGATGTGAAGTAGCAAAACACGAAGACTAAATACGAAATTGTCCTAAGACTTAAGAGTAGTAACCTGACTGCTAATCTGTTATTTTTCTGATTTTGATGTTATATTGTAATTATACTGGAGTGTCCTTGTCTGCAGAAAATACAAGATGCTTTACTGTGTAGCTGGAAACAATGAGGCATCACGTTACCAAATACACTCAGATAGTTTAGGAACACTTTAAAGATTGTCTCATAGTAAACTTTTGAAATAAAACAAATATTACTATGGGCGAAATTCCAAACTAAAGTCAAAAGAAGCTTGTGTATTTTGAAACTGTCTCTGCTGTTACTTTTCTAGCTTCTAAATTTTTTGTCTGTGTGAAACTTAAAGGAACTTGCTAATTAAAATGACAATCATATTAATACTGCTTATTATATAGTCACCTTTTTATACCAATAGCATTACAGAACCTATTTTGCTAAAATTCTAAAGCTTATGATTTATCACCTCCAGATCTGAATATTACCTTTTTTTGAATATAATGGCATCAAATAAGATGCTACATAATTAAATCAAATATAAGCAGTAAATGAATGATTTACCTGAAACTTCCTATCTTAAAAGTTCTGGAGCAGACACTAACATATTAAATTCCTTCCTTTTTTTTTTTTTTCCTCCTGGACCTTTCAAGATGCTACTTTAGAGCAGTAATTGGCTTTCTTCAACCATGGTCAGCTTCTGGCCTTTTCCTCTGTGGATAGCCACTGGCGTACAGGATCTACTCACACTGTTCTACATGCCTGACCCCTAGGAAGCCTTCTCAAATGTGAAGGTTGAGCCTTTCTTTGGCCCTCAAGCCCCAGTTTGCTCTGAACCTCTCCTCAAAGAATCTCATCTAGCGAAAGCCTTTACTTCTGAGTCTGTTTCTCCATCATGTGTACCTCAAGTGTGGGGCAGCATTTGGCCATTTCTCTATCCTCTAGACTTCATACTGCCCACATTCAAATCTATCCACGATAAATCTTTTAGCATCTTTAATGGTATCCTGGACTGGATCTTGGAAAAGCAAAAGACACTGATGAAACAATATGGGCAATCCCCACAGACCCTGTAGTTTTAGTTTTGTATCAACATTTTTTTAAATTTTGATCAATGTGCCATGGTTATGTAAGATTAACATTATGAAAATCCGGATGAAAGCTATACTGGGAAAGTTTTATACTGTCTTTGGAACTCTTTCTGTAAAGCTAAAACTATTTCAAAATAAAAAGTTAACAAATAACAAAAAAAAGATGCTAATACACAGCCACGCAAGATTCTGTTCAGACCTGAACAGATGATATCTACTTACTTTCTATCTTTTCCTTCTTGAAGTACTTCATTCCACCCAGTAAAGCTCCTCCAATAGCAAATGTGATTGCTAAAGACCTCCAGGAAACAGGCTACTGGGGCAGAGATTTCAAAAATAAAAATACTAGTAAGATGAAAATATTTAACCATGCTAAATTTATGATAGTTTTTAGTATACATACAAAGACCATGATTTTGTTCAATATGCATAACGTTTCAAGTTAGTCCGGGATGAGAAAATGCTGAACGTTTCTGAGAATGAGGCTTATATCCGGGCTTTGCATATATACAATGACAAAAGCACTCATAATTTAATTTCCTGTTCAGAGGGAAAATTAACACAAAGAAGCACAAGTAACATGATTGTTATTATGTGCAATCCTGGCTTCAACTTTTTATTTAAAAACCAATTAAACGTTCCCCACAGTGGCTCACACCTGTAATCCTAGCACTCTGGGAGGCTGAGGAAGGAGGACTGAAAGTTCAAACCCAGCCCGGGCAATTTACTGGCACCCTATCTCAAAATTCTTAAAAGGAGATGTGGGTGGGGTTTGCTGGGGACCTAGTCCTCAGTTCAAGCCCAGTACTGCACAATCAATCAGTTACCACTTGTGCTGATACAGAGACTATATAAATAAAATTAATAAAATAAGAGAGGTTAACCTAACTCTGGCTTCCAGAAGTAGTAACCAAAGTAGAAAAGATATCTAAAAGTGGGGCTTCTTGCAAATCGCAATCACTTCTTTTTATTCCTCCAAGTCCCCAAATAAGGAAGATGTCTGTCACCTAGGTCTAACTCATTAACCTTGCTTGCCCTAGTTCTGAAAACCTACTTCTCTTACCTATCACTACAGAATAGTGGTTTCAAGTTCTTTTTGGGTTAGAATTATAGAGCCGGAGAAAACCGCAAGAAAAGTGGCATATCCATATACAAACAAGATCCTCCATTTCAATTTCAAGATATTTATGGAAACCCTGAAGGGGGCATTCAATTGACAAAAATTTTAAAAGTGGTTTGACTCTTCAATCATGATAATCTTAAGGTTGAGGTCGTTAAGAAAACCTGTAACTTATTTCACTGGCGCAAAAGTTAATTTAAAATCCAAACCCGATTATCTAACCGCATATAGAGGGTGTAGCTTCTAAGTTCTCTCTCCAGGCGTGGGGCTACCGGCAAACCAGGGAAATGCAGATGAGAGTCCAAGACCCGGGAAGCTGACCAAGTTGAGAACACTTCGAGGACAGGCCGAGTAGCTTCTGAGGTTAGGACCCAGTGGGATGAAAGGCCACAAGGACGGGGGAGCCGTAACGAGCACTGCAAAGGCTTCAAGTGTACACTCACCCCGGGCTTCCAGGGGCGCGTGGGGTCTCTGTGACCCTTAGGCTCGGGCCCTGATGACCCCGCGGGTGGCGGTAGCCCCGTGCTGAAGGGCCGGCTTCCCGGGCAGGTGACAGCGCTCCCCGAGATCCGCCGCACCTCTTCCTGCCGCGCACAGAACTGCCTCAGCAAGACCTTCTTAGTCCTCTCCGCCGGGTTCCAAAGCCAGAGTTCGCGAGGCAGAAGACGCCAGAGTTGGCCACTCGGAGACTGCACCAATACAGCCATGAGTGTAGCTGACCGCACATCCTTTGATAGGCCCCGTTATTTCCGGTACCCTTCCGCTTCCGCCGGAAGTCGCAAAGAAGCCGCTCTTTCCCCTTCTCTCGGTGATGTTGTGGTCACCTAGCCGGTCGTTAAGGAGGGCTGGAGGAGGACGCTGCGCAGGGTAGGTGGTGCCTGTCCTCTGGAGGCTGGTCCTGCGCCGGCTGAGGGGCCCTGTAGTGGGGACCGGGAGGGGTTGGCCGCGGAATCACTGAGGGTCTGCCTGGGCTGCGCGACCGGGCCGAGGCCTGGCGGTCCTGAGTTCGGGGGGGCGTCCGGCCCTCGGGGGGAGGGATGGGTCTCCCCGAACGCAGCCTACTCCGCCCTTGGCTGGCGGGACTGGGTGGTCCCTGCACTCCCATCCTGTCTGGTGATCCTAGTCCTGCCTGGTTTAGTGGTCGGCCAAGTAGAATTACAAGTCGTTGATCCCTTCGCATTCTCAAAAGTAGAACTTGACTCTTTATTCTCCAATCTTTAACCTAAAAAAATGCTAATAATAATTTGGTAAGGGTGGCAAAAGCAAGAGATGTCTGAAGTGCCCAACACTTCTAGCTACCCGTACCTATCACAGTCTGATTGTAAAGCGCAGCACTGTACGTAAGAAGCATCTATTGCGTCACGACCTCCCTTTAACTTAGTATCCTGCGACCCTAGTTTCCTAAAGTGCACTGACTGGCCTCTGATCCCTTCAGTTTCGTAATTTGAAATTTGATGATGGCTTCTGGGACTGCTTATGTTACTCGGATATAACTACATAATAATGAGGCTAAGAGCGTTTGTAGGTTTATTTTATATTTCCTGGGAGATTTAACTCGAATTCATTTCATCTGCTTTTGTTTATGTCTCAATATCTGAAGTCTTCTCCCCCCACCCAATGGATTTGCAAAAATGCAGGAAAGTCCCCATCTGGCTTCCTTAATTACAGTTTTCACTCTTATATGTCCCCCCCTCCTCCAGGGGGCTTCAGAGCAGAAGGAACTATTGCTCCAGTGATTATTGGATTGAAGCATAATTTTGTTTTTTCTTCTGTCTCCCTGTGATTTGGCCCAACTGACCAAGTGTGCTGCTCTCTGACACATTAAGTAATGCAGTTTAATAATACTTGTTTCCTGATTCTGAAATTGAGCTGGAGTTTTCTGAAAGTTAGCTCAGTTAAAAGAACTCCCCTTTTCCTTACTGGGAATTGGCCACAAGGACTCAAGCTAAACTACATTTCCAGGCCTTTTTAAAATTTTGAGACAGGGCCTAGTTAAATTCCCCAGGCTGCCCTCTAACTAGAAAACCTCCTGACTCAGCCTTATGGGTAGCATGAGCACTTACCTTAGAAAAGTTCTCACATGTTTATTCAGCACTTCATATTGTTAATCAAAACCAATTTTTCTGTCTTGAAGTTGCCGGTGGGTAAGATTTTCCCCTCTGATTTCTATGTATTTTTGTTCAAGGAGTTTTTTTTTATAATTGACAAAATGACACAAAATACCTTGCTTAGTCAGGAAAGGAGCATCCAAAGTTATTGTTCATCTCTTTAATTGCTCACTTATAGGTTAACTGATCAAGTACACATCCTATAAATTAAAATTAAGTTTGATGATCCTTTTAGCTGGTCTATTTAATTTTCTTTGTCAAAGTGATTCTGTTTACCCTTTAATTTACCAAAGCATTCTTATGATATTTTCATATTAAGATGTAGTATCAGATAAACTAACATCTAATTGTAGCTAGGTATTGGGTGAATTGCTAATAACACCTCTGAGCCTGATTTCATGGACTCATTTTAAAAGGTACCTAAAGTGTTATATCTATTGTAAATCTGTTGCTTTTATTACTATTGTGACCCAGCAAGAGCACCATGTGAGTTTGTTTTCATTTTAGGTCCTTTTTTTGAGGGAGACAGGGTGTGGATAATACCATCTGATACTTGTTTTTTTGTTTTTGTTTTTGGTTTTTTTTTTGGTACCAGGGATTGAACTCAGGTCTTTGCGCTTGCACAGCAGGCGGCAAAACCACTGAGCTAAATCCCCGGCCCTGATATTTGTTTTAATAGTGATAAGCCTGATCAGATTTTGTGCTTGACATAATTTTTAGGACTGGTTTGACTAGGACAGCTAAGCCCAAATTTGTAAACTTCTTAGTACTGTAGTGAGGTGCTGAAAATTTTGAAATTGAAGACCTGCAACTGAAATATAGTTCCAGTTTTCCCCAAAGCAAAAATACTCCTAAAAAAAAAAAATCCTCACTAGGTTGCTGTGTGATTCAGCTGAGTTATAATGCAAAGCAACTGCTTTGTAATTTTCTGAATCATAAAGCACCACATGTGTTTAATAAAGTGATTTTAAAATTATATGTCAAAAAAAATTTATGTCTAATGAGTCTCAAGATGACTGAAACTACTGTGACTTCTTACTGGAATGGAATAATGTAGAAAACCTTACAGTATTTTCTCTCAAAGTGACTACAAAATGTCATGATGCAAGACATGCAGCTTAATCTCTTTCTTTAACTGCTGCAGTCTTTCTTCAAAGTCATGAATTTTATTCTCTTGCTTCATGAAATTTTGTGAATGTGTCTTCACATATGTAATCCACAGTCAAAAAATGAAGTCCCAATTTTCTCATAAGATCTAAAGTTTCATCTATTAATTTTTGTTGAATCAAATGAAGTTTGTCTAATCTGTTTTCAAATAAGTCATTAAGAAGTCCTGCTGCCTTACATTTTAAGAAAAGAAACTTTTATGATTGTGTTTGTGTGGTTGCAAGCTCACCCTTCAGTTTTCTTCCAGTTCTGTCCAGCAGATGGTCTCAGCTGGCAGTACAGGAGTGCCTGCTGAGGGGTGTGCTTTGCTTTTCACTCTTCAACCATCAACACTTTGAGTGATGGTTGATTTTGGAACATGTTGTTGACATAACCACTTATAAATTCCTTGAGCTTCATCAGCTTGTAGAAATGCATGGCCTTTTTTAGCATAGAATTTTAAATCACATCCCACAGTGACTCTGTCCCTAAGTGGCTCCTCTTACCACAAAATGTGTATTTCAACTATTTTCCTCTCTGGATTTCTTTCTCTACTGATTACACATCAAAATTTCCATCATTATTAGGTGACTCATGACTAGCTTCAACAGTTTTTTATCCTCTGCACCTATTTTGTGGGTATGTATTTGGTAGAGGAGAGGACTATTTTTAAAAAGTTCCATGCCATTAGAATGCCTACTGGTTCTCCATTTCCCCACTGGAAGTCATGCTGAGGTTTGTTTTTTTTTGAGGTTGACACATAATTTCAACAAATAAAGTGTTTAATGAAAAACTGTAGTATACAATGGACTGATCTCTAGAAAAAGGTCTTATTTACAAGTGAGCAGCCAAGGTGTTTCCTTTCATTAAATGTAGATTTTAAATGTTCATTCAGTGCACATTTGTTATGGTGCTACTATAATAAAATGACGTCCAGAGAACTACTCAGGACCCAGTGAACAGGTGAGCGCTACTCCTCAGTCATATTCAGAAAATCGAATGTGTTTACTTGCTTGTTGAGTCTTTTCAAATCTAATCTTTTCGGCTTTGGTGATTAACTTCTCGGTGCCTCTCTTCTTTTCCCGAGGCTGATTGAGCTTGGCCTGTCTGTTTACCAGAATCTTCTGTCAGTATCTCTTCATGATCACCAGAAAGGGCCTCCAGTTCCCAGCCATGCTTCTTTTTAATCTCGGTGACCTGGGCCACCTCTGGGGTTTTAAACCTAGCATGACATTCTGTGTCTCTTTCTAGCAGATCAACATATACAACTTCTGAGATTGCTGCCAGCATATTCTGGACTTGCTTCCTGCCAGGCAGAGGTTCTGGGCTAGTGATCTTCACAATGACTCCACTCACATACTGTGGTCCTGGTGGATTAACCTTCTCCTGAGGACGACACTCTGGACCATTGACTTCTTCCTTTTTCACTGCAATCTTACTAGGTACTCCACTATCTGTTTCCCTTTCTGATTCTGATTTTATTTGGGATATTGTCTTTTTTAAAGAAGCCATGATGGCTTTTTGCAATGCCAAATACTCTTTTTTCAAATCCATCCATTCGTTCTTGGATAAGACTCGCAATCTCACAATGGTGTAACTTCTTCTCCCATTTTATGTCTCTCTTTTTATTTTTTCTTGTACTTCCTTTTGGTTTTTAGTAGAGAACCTTTTATATGTCCAGTATCCTTTTCCTCTTCTGTAGAGAATTCTAAATCTGTTTTCTTTGGAAACTTAAGCCTCCTTTTTTTTTTTTGTATATCCTTTTATTGGTACATTTTAGGTGTACAATATAATGACATTCATCATAGGAGAAATGCACCTTTACATACTCTCTTGGTTCTTATTTTTTTTCCCCTTCCCCTGCCCTCCCTTCAACCCCTCCATCCCTCCCTATTTACAAAGACTTTGTTTCCTTTTTTTCATTTTCTCGTATTCCATTCCCTTCTTGCCTTTCCCCTACCCCCCCCCCCATTCCCCTTTCCCTTTCCCCCTTTCTTCCTATTTCACATTATCTGTTATACTTTTTAGTCCTTATTTACACTTTCAGTTTCTTGCCCTAGAGAAACTAGTCGGCATTTACACATGTGTGTCCTATTTATTTCACTTAAGAGTATTGCCTCAATGTGCATCCATTTAGCAATAAATGTCTCTTAATTTCTCATTTTTGATGGCTGAGTAGTACTCCATTTTATTAAAAAACCCCACATTTTCTTTGTCCAGTCTCCAGTTGATGGGCATTTGGGCTGTTTCCAAGTTTTAGGTATTACAAACTGTGCTGCTGTGAACATGGGTGCACATATATCACTGTGGTATGATTCTTTTAATTCTTTGGGGAAGGTACCCAGCAGGAGAATAGCTGGGTCAAATGGGACTTCCAGTTGTAGGTCTTTGAGGTATCTCCATCCTGATTTCCACAGTGCTTGCACCAGTCTACACTCCCACCAGCAGTGGAGCAGGGTTCCTCTTTCCCCACAGCCCCACCAGAATTTGGTATTGGTTGATTTCTTGATAGCAGCCACTCTTTCTGGGATGAGGTGGAATCTCAGTGTTGTTTTCATTTGCATCTCTTGAATGACCAGTGATGTTGAACATTTTTTCATGTATTTATTTGCCATTTCTACTTCTTTTTGTGAGAAATGTCTGTTCATTTCAGATGCCCATTTTTGGAATGGGTCTTTAAATTTGGGAGGTCTGATTTTTTTTAAGTTCTTTATAGATTCGAGATAGTAGACCTTTGTCTGAGGGACCGCTAGTGAAAATTTTTTCTCACATTGTGGGTTGTCTCTTCACACTGCTGGTGGTTTCTCTTGCTGTGCAGAAGCTTTTTAATAAGAAGAGATCCCACTTATTGATTGTTTGTGCTAATTCACGGGCAACTGAGGTTTTGTTCATAAAGTCTTTTCATACACCAATGTCAGAAGCCTCTTTTTTAACAATTTTCTGAGCTATTTTCTTGATTTTTGATTTGGGAGCCAGACTTTCGGCATCTGCAGAGCTGCTCCTCTTCCTCTTCCCGGGTCTGCCTTCAGGTAAGCTGGATACCTCGGCTCTGTCCCGTTTTTTTCTTTTTCTTGTTGTGTTGCTTTTGGGGTTCTGTACTTTCCATTTCAGAGCCCTCAGATGTGGTCCTAGAGGCCTTCACTTTATAGATGCTCATGCTGGTTGTGTCCATACTCATCCCTTTTTCCTGGACATTGTCTTCTTTCTTCATTCTCTCTTCTTCTTTTTCTTTTTCTTCAGCTACTCTTAGAACTGGGATGGGCTTGTTTTTCACCGTCTTGGGAAATATGTCAGGTTTTCTTGATGCTTCTTCTGGTGGGTTAGGAAACTTAATAGCTTTTGCTGCTTGTTCTTTTGTTTCAAATTCCACAAAGACAAATCCCTTCGGATCTCCAGTAGACTTATAATGTGGTTGACTTATATAAACAACATTGCCACATTTCTCAAACACTTTTTCAGTCTAGCTGTGATTAACATTTTTAGGAAGTAATTCCAAATACACAGTGCGCTCATCCTCATCCTTTGGTCTTTCACCAAGAGGCTTTTTCCTTCTGATTCTGTACCTTCTAAGTCCAACTCAACAACAGCTGAGCTCTTCAATGCTCTAGCCATTAACTTTCCATCAGTAGTCAACTTTTTCATTTTGTTAAGACACCAGAATGGAGATATCAGTGTATCCACTCTAGATTTTTCTGTCTGTTCTCGAAGAAATCTACCCTTGTGAAGACTTGCATCCCCAAACCAGAAGTCCACTTGCTTAGCAATATCTGCAAGCACCTGCTTAACTCTAGAGCGCTTCTTCTTTTCTACTTCCTTCTTTTCACTGCTTTCTTCCATGGCTTGATTTCCACCTTCAGCTTCCATTCTTCACTCCGTTTCCGAAATATAGGGTCAGAGGCTTGCGTCCTTCAGCCCTTTCCATCTCTCCCATGTTGAGTTTTTGATCTCTCCACCAGGACCAATCTTTCTGAGCCCCCTGGCATCTCCCTGAACCAAAAAAAAGGAAAACATTGACTAGCTAGGAGAGTAATTTCCTTGCTCATATGTTTCCCTCTGTCCATCTCCCTGCTTTACCTTCTGATCCTGTTGTCCCTTCAAAATAATATCTTTACTCAATAGAATTGTATGCCACCTCTCTATCCTTGACCATTAAAAGCTGGAAGTACGCCATCCTTTGGTCTGTTTTCTTCCTCTGAATGATTATTGTTTTGAAATATGAGTCCCTGGGTATTTTGCTCCACATTGTGTAACTTTCTTTAAAAAGTTGCCAAATTCTGTAATAGCCTTGACTTACTGAAATAGCCTTGAGTAAACTGAAATTGTTCCAGTGGAAGGTGTTTTTGACCAGATTTTGGTATTAAATGGTAGAAAATCTACTTCATTTACATTTCAGCTCCAAGGGGAATTTATTTGCTGGAATAATTAAATGACTCAGGGTAGTTCTGTTAGGGGTAGGTGGATGTAGGTTTTCAGCAGCTGTTTCCAAGAATTTTCTGCTTTCTGTCATTTATCTTTGTTTCCTTTTATGTTGGATTTCTTCTCAGTTCACTTTTCCACAGAAATTCAAGTTTTAGTTGTCAGCAAAAGTAGTACTTTTGGGTTATGTGCTTGGGTATAAGCTTACCCCTAACTGGTGAGAAGGAAACTGGGCTTTTACGAGCTAGACCTGGGTTTCTGTTTGCCACTGTCTTTCCTCGGTCCCGTCGTTCCCTCATTCCCTCAGAAATCAAATGACAGGAAGTGACAGTAGGGAACTGGGTCATGCCTAAAGGAAAACTGGAGTGCTGTTACTAGATGGGAAATGATTGCTGGATAGGTAAAAGTAACAGCTATTTAATATGGATGGAAGATCAAATTGATGGATACTAAATCCTCTCTAAGAGATCCACAGCACATACTGTCACCCTCAAGGTTCTGAGTTTAAATATAAAAACAAACATGCTGATTTGGCAGGGAATAAGAACATCCCCAGAAATGATTTTCGTTTAAACTTTGGTAAAAATATTCATATTCCTTCTAATCTGTACTTGGAGGCACAGGTATTTAAAATTATGACTGGAGATTTTTAGCTGACATGTATTTCTTTTAATTGTACTATCTGAGTTTTCCACTTTTCAAACCAGACTTTTTCATTTATAGAAACAAATGAAGATATCACCCGTCACACATATCTACTAACTTGATATCTACTGAGGCTTTTTTTTTTTTTTTTTTGGTATCAGGGAATCAAACCCAGGACCTTGCGCTTGTGAGGCAGGCGGTGGCATCATTGAGCTAAATCCCCAGCCCGTCTACTGGGATTTTCAGATGGACACTATAAGGAAGAAATGAAGAAATTTAAAAAATAATATGGGAATAATCACTTTTCAGAATTTCCTTTTTCTGGTTCTGTTTCACCTGTTTTGGAGCTAGTTACATCCAATCAGATTAAGGAAGAACAGAAAGCTAAAGCTCCTAATCCAGTGGACTAGGTAAGGTGTGTATCATTAGTGACAAAAATTTTAGACTGAAGAGAACCTCCTAAGTTCTCAATTAAGTTCACTTGAGTCTGATCCCCCTTCTGATTATGGAGTTGTATCCTCCACCTCTGTTAGGAGTGCTCTTACAACTGGTATTTCACATGTCTGTAGAGGATTTTGATCTAAAGTCAAATGAATTTTGGATTTTATTTTTTTAGTACCAGGGATCAAACTCAGAACCTTGCACTTGTGAGGTAAATGGCGGCACCACTAAGCTAAACCCCTGACCCTGAATTTTGGATTTTAGAAAGTCAAATGAACTTTTAGAAACATGTGGATTTGGATAAATTCAGACACCACCACCACCACTACGATTTATTACTGTAGTCTTTAAGCAAAAAAAAAAAACCACTTGATAATTTAGGGTCTTGGACTTTGATTTTTTTTTTTTTTTTTGGTACAGGAGATCAAACTCAGGACTTTGCACTTGCCAGGCAGGCGGGGTGCCACTGAGCTAAATCCCCAGCCCTTGGACTTGGATTTTTTTGTCTTAACACTTAAGAGTTCTTGGTTGCTTTAGCAATTGTAAGTTTAGATTGTAAAGGGTAGAGATCATGTAAGATGAAAAGATTTCATGTTTTCTGGTTTGGTTGTGGGGCAAGAAAGGTTAATATTAAAATTTAAAAAAAAATCTGGTTCACATTAGATTCTTAACTATTAAAGAAGCAGGAACCACTGTTCATGGAAATGACAGTACACTGATTTCATAGTTAAAATTATTCCTCCATTTTCATATCTTTACTGTCTCTCCCAGTTGCTTCAGATATAAAATATGAGAAGCTTATTTCAAGTGTCCCTACCCATCAGCAGAGAGAAAAGGCCTAGCCTGGCACAAAGTAGTTCATAATAGGAATCTTATGATCAGTACAGTGAATGGGTGAGTGTAATATGCACCTTTCCAAAAACCTTGAAGTTTTGATGGAATTATTTGATGTTTGTGGGAGAGGATACATGTTGTATTTTAAAATGAATACATATTCTTAAATATCAGAAATTATCCCAGGTTTGAATTTGGCTTTACTAGAATTAAAATGCCTGTTTATTAATAGGATAATACCCTTATAAATTGTTACTCTTCTGAAGGACAGAGTTTATTGTCTATTTTATGTTGGAGAAAACTGGACTGTTTGAGTGCCTTAGTATTTTAAACCTAAGACTGTCAAGTGAGTTCCAAAGTCCATGCACTATTTTCTGTCAAGCTGCCTATTACATTTACTATTCATTTTACTGTTTTCTTCAGTCCAAGTAGAAAATTAAGATATTTTGAACTTTGTTATCTTTTTCACTTTCTTTATATAGAAACCTGTTCAGAGGTTATGGCTGAAAAGCCCAATCCTGGGACCCCAAGTGACAGTTCAGAATGGCTCTTCTCCTTTGGAGTTATAGCAGATATTCAATATGCTGATTTAGAAGATGGGTACAATTTCCAAGGGAGCAGGCGGCGGTACTACAGACACAGTCTTCTTCACCTAATGGGTGCTATTGAAGAATGGAATAAAGAAAGCAGCATGCCCTGCTGTGTTCTTCAACTTGGAGATGTCATTGATGGCTATAATGCGCAGTATAAAACATCAGAAAAGTCTCTGGAACTTGTTATGAACACATTTCAGATGCTTAAAGTCCCAGTTCATCATACATGGGGAAACCATGAATTTTATAACTTCAGTAGAGACTATTTAACAAACTCTAAACTTAACACAAAGTTTCTAGAAGACCAAATTGTACATCATCCTGAGACTGTGCCTTCAGAGAATTATTATGCTTATCATTTTGTACCATTTCCTAAATTCCGGTTTATTTTACTTGATGCTTATGACTTGAGTGTCTTGGGCATAGATCATTCTTCTCCAAAATACCAGCAGTGTATGAAGATACTGAGGGAGCACAATCCAAATACGGAATTGAATAGTCCTCAAGGTGAATTATTCCTTTGAACTGACAATCTAATACATTGTCTTTAAATTCTTCAGCTACCTTTTATTCAGCAGGAAAATGGATGATTAAGGTAAAAGTAATTTGTCACTGTTGTTCAGGGTCAGAATTTCGCATAAGCCTGATGTCACATGGTTGATTGTAATTGTTTCAGGTTTCATTTAACATAGCTGCATGCCAGTCTGGGCCAACATATCTGGGCAAATCACTTTTGTTTTTTACCTTGTGAATGGAATGGAGAGAATCAAAGCAGTAGGTGGACAGGACATTTAATAAAGTATTAACCTTCTATCATGATAAAATACCTGAGATAATCAACTTTTAAGGAGGAAAGGTTTATTTTGGCTCACAGTTTCAGAGGTTGCAGTTCATCTTCACTTGGCCCTGTTGCCTTTAGAGCAAGCTCCTTGCCTTATGGCATACTCTGTGTGCCATACACACAGTGTGTATGAGGGAGGGGCTGGGGTACAAATATCCCATTCAAAGTCACACCCTTAGTGACCTAACTTCTTCCCACTAGACCCCACCTCTAGAATAGTCCACTACCTCCTAGCAGCACCACAAGCTGGGGACTAAACCTTTAATACGTGGGGCTTTGGGAGACATTTAAGACCCAACCTGTAGCAGTATAAAACAGAAACATTATTTCTGCAACAGTAAGTGCTGCCAAGAAAGTGGAGTGTATTGTTATAGGATTAGGGATACTACTTTAGATTAGGTGATTAGAGGAAGGCTCTCCAAGAAGAAAATAATTTAAGCTGAAGCCAGTATGTAGATTACAGAAAGGAGTTACCTTAGGAAGAATGAGGGATAGGAAGTCAGAAGACAAGAGGGAAAAACAATTGCATAGATACTAAGTGGAATAAGACTTTGGCATTACTGAACAACACAGAAAAGGGCCAGTGAGATAGAAGATGATTTTGAAGAATGAACAGGTGCTAGAATATCTCATGGGGCTCAGGAGACATTGCAAGGAATTTGTGTTTTCTTTTGAGTGTAATGGTAAGCCAGTAAATAAAGGAATGTCAAGACTAGGAGTAAGACACAATGTAATTTATTTATATATTGCTCAAAATTCTTGTGACTTTCTATTTAAAGTTTATTGCTGGTAATCAAATTTCCTAAAGAAAAGAACAAGTGTCCTTGTTTGAATGCCCAAATGAGGGGAAGAATGACGTTTGATGGGTGTGACTTACTGAATTCATTCAGGACTATTTGAGACCCAGTTTGTCCAGTTCAATGGAGGATTCAGCCAAGAACAGCTGAACTGGTTGAATGATGTTCTTACGTTCTCTGACACAAACCAAGAAAAAGTGGTGATTGTGAGTAAGTATGTAAATTGTTTATCTGATTACAGCAACATTTTAGAGATTGGGAAATGTTAGCTTTTAAAGAATACTAACAATATGTATGGTTTGGTATCCTCTTTCTAGAAAATGGATGCTTGCTTTAAAAGTTCTTATTAAAACAACCCAAATCCAAGATTAATATTTTTAAAACACAGGAGAGAATTGTAAAACAACAAAAACCATCTTGCTGTATAGTTGAGCCCGTGAATTGTCCTTGTAGGCCTTAAAGGAGAATTTTCCCAAATGAGATTAATGTAATAATATTTATTTATTTATTTATTTATTTATTTATTTATTTATTTATTTTGGTACTGGGGATTGAACTCAGGACCTTATGCTTGTGAGGTAGGTGGTGGAACCACTGAGCTAAATCCCCAGCCCTATGTAATAATTTTTAAATGAGAAAGTCAGTACAGACCCCATTCCAAATCCCAGTCTTCAAAACTCTGGCTGTCAGTGAAGTGGCCAGCAAACTGGCCACTGCTGCCCAGGTGCAGCACAGCTGATGTCTCACGGTATGAGCATGACTGACTCAGATGACAGTGAGCACTTTCTGTCTGTATCAACCACACAGTCCCAAGGAAATTGGATTTACATTATTTCCATTTAAAATCATTTTTGACAGATGCCATCATCTGGGATTCTGGGAATCTGGAAGTGCTTAAAACATACATGTGTGCATGTGCATACGTGTGAAGAACTGAATTTGGATTTGCAGTAGGGAAAGTAGACTTGGTTTGGGGCTGACATTACAGCCCTTGTTTGAAAACCAGTGTGACTCAAATAGATGAGAAGACTGAACTGAAAACCAGGGGATGGAATGCCTTTCTGGCTTTCATTTATTAGATGAACTATGTGGCCCTGGAAAAATATTGAACATATGAACTGCAGTTTTCTCAGTATTATAGCAAATAAAATTATGACTGTGAAAACCCTTTGAAAATGATAGGCAATTCACGTAGGTGATACTATAAAATTGTATTTCTGTCCATAAATGTAGTTTTTGCATATTAATCTTCCACTGTAAAAACAGATGGAGGAGTGTTTGTGCTGCCATTTGACTGTCAAATGTCAAGACTTGGAAAAGATAGGGTTCTCTCAGGTTACTGGCATGTCCTGACACCATTTGACTCTACAGTAGTGGCCTCAGAAACTGGGATGCTTCCTGGCTTGTATCTACGTTTTGGTTTGCCACTGCCAAGCTATTTCTGCTGAACGCAACCTGGAGATCATGTAGGCCAATCTTTTAACTTTTGAAGGTAAAGAAACCAAAGCCCCAAGAGATTAAACTACATAGCTAAAGTATCCCAAGCCCCTTCCCCTCTACCCTGCTTTCTTTGCATTTCTTTTTCTTTTTGTTTTTTTGAGACAGGGTCTTGCTGGTAGTTCAGGCTGGCCTTTTATTCACTCTGTAGCCAAGGCTGGCCTCTGTCTGTCCTTCCACCTCAGCCTCCTGAGTGCTGGGATTATAAGTGTGAGACAATACACCCTGCTTCTCATCACTTTTGACTATTGGTGTTAAACCTGTCTACTTTAGCAGTTTCTTAGATTTCTTTACTATTTGCTGAAAGTTTGGAAACTGGATAAGCAAACCATTAACAACTGAGTGCCACAGCCTTCCTTTAGCAAAGTTTAAAAGTTAAAGTTTGATGATGGCTACTTAGAGGTCATTTTGAGTTTGGAGTTTTTGAGTTTGGGTCATGTAGTTGGAAGTGCCGAATAGCCACTAGTTGAGGTGAGGAACACTGCAGACGAAGAGAGGGATGGGATCAGGGTTGGACATACTAAGTTTCTTATGCCTATTAGATTTAAAGATGTGAAAATCACGGGGAGATCACCAAGGCATAAGTGTAGATAGAGAAGTCCAAAGAGCAAGCATTCGGGTACTCCTGACAGGATGCAGAGGAGAAACCAGGAGAGGAGATTGAAAATTAGTGGTCATTGAAGTTGGAGGAAGACTAGCGGCATCCTAGAAGCCAAGTACTTCCAGGAGAAGGGGGCAGATAATTGTGTCATTTGATACATGGGTCAATATAGCTTCTACCCAATTTGTTGAACTCTTAGCTCTTATCATAGGTAATTTCTGTGTGTGTCCATCCTTTTGACTTGTATTATAATATATTTATAAAGAGAATATTTAAATTTTAGAATAAAAATGAATAATAAAAAAAAAGTGTTTTATTGAGATGAAGCAGAGTTCAGTGAAAGCAGTGTTCTGTGTTCCTGGACATCAGAATGAAACTGGCCTGATATATGCCTGGGTTCACGTATGTGTTGGCTTCAAAATTCTCCTGCATCTACTTCCACATCTCATCTATGGGGCCCAATATAAACTTTTTCTGCTTGTATTAGTTTTCTCATCTGTAAATTGGATATGGCTACCTTGATTGCACAGGGGTATTTAAAGTCTCATTAATCAGTTCTATAGCATTGTTTATATAAATGACATGTAATCCATGGCCAATCCCTAAACTCCTATTTTAGTTAGTATTACATCTCCCTGAATATATATCATTCATATATAAGGAAATCAATAAGATTGAGTTCCAGTATGGCATCTGCCTGATTTCTGGCAGACTTTACAGACTGCCCTACACATGAGGCCCTTGATCTTTGGTGTTTGTGCAACTTGAGACTCTGTGTAGGTGTCAGAGATCTCAGGCAGTGGCCTCTGTCCTCTCCCACCTCATTTGTGGTGGTATCACCCTCCTAACTGTGCACTAGAGATGTGACTGTAAATTATCTACTTCTTTATATGGATTCTCTCTGGTCTTTTGTCTGTTTGGATAATGAAGCTGCCATATGCAATTTATTTATTTTTCCCTTAGTAGTAGGTTTTAGCCATTTATCTTGACGGAAAAGATATTTCTCAATTGGCTCATAACTTCTTTTCTTTAACTGACAGGCCATATCCCCATTTACCCAGAGGCCTCTGATGCTGTGTGCCTGGCCTGGAACTACAGCGACGCCCTGGCAGTCATTTGGTCTCACAAGTGTGTGGTGTGTTTCTTTGCTGGTCACACACATGACGGTGGCTACTCTGAGGATCCTTTTGGTGTGCATCATGTCAACCTAGAAGGAGTTATTGAAACAGCTCCGGACAGCCAAGCTTTTGGCACAGTTCATGTCTACTCTGACAAAATGATGCTGAAAGGGAGAGGCAGAGTTCCAGACAGAATTATGAATTATAAGAAGGAATTCCCTTTTTAGTCGGATTTACTTTGTTTGCCTTAATAGAAAGAGGATGACCTTGCTTTGTGCTTGTCTCAACTACACAAAAAGGAAAACAACAACAAAAAAGTACTCTGTTTTGTATTCTGCTTGCATCACCAAATGTGTTTGTGGCTTCAGAGTATGTTGATAAAATATTCAGAAATACCACTTTTGGATAATCTATCCATTCCTGAAAATTAGAAAAAACAAGGGTGGAGACTGCAGTGGGGGTATATAGTTGTCTTCACCTAAAAAAATTTTGGTTTTGATTTATACAAGAGAATATATTCATGTTAGCTGTATTACTTAAAATACGTAATAAAAAATAAAGCTTGGGTAAGCTTTTTCTGTTCACTTTGTGATATAAATGAGCTTTGAACAGGTTTTGCTCAGAATACCTATACTTGGACTTTATAGGCTTACATTCCCATTTTGTGAATAAACACTATAACAAGTTACTTGGCTAGTGAACGTCTGTTGCCTGAATCTTTGAGAACATCTTTCAGAAGTCATGTTGTCCTCTTGTGACTGCAATCAAAGCAGGACAAGTGCCAGTGCAGCTGTGTGCCTGCTACCTTGGTCTGTTTGGGCCACCACAGTTCACAGTGAGCCTACAGTAGATAATTTACCCTTGACTCTTTAACTAGACAAACGGACGTGTTTAATTCAGTTGCCACATATACCAAGGCTTATCTGCAGAAAAACTAGATGACAAATGGGGGAAGTTTGATTTGGGGCCTAAAAAATAATAAAACACTAGTCAACGCAAGTGTGCCTGCTAAGTACATAGGCACCATAAGGATATAAAGGTATATTCGTTTTCTGTGGATGCTGTAACAAATTCCCACACACTTGATAATTTTCAACATGTGTCTATTATCTCACAGCTCTGGAGGTCAGAAGTATGGGATCACTTTAACCGGGCTGAATCCCAGGTGTTGGCACAGTCACGGTCCCTTAGGAAGTTCCAGCTGGAATCTTTGCTTGCCTTTTCCAGCCTCTTGAGCTGTACTCTCATGGTCTTTGACTCACAGGCCTCCTTACCTTTGCAGCCAGCGGTAGAAGTAGCATCTTTAAATCTCTCCGCTTGTTTTCACTTCACCTTTTCTTATGTGCAGTTACATCTTCCTCTAAGTGCACTTGTGATTGTTAAGGCCCACCTGGATGATCCAGGCAGTCTCTCCACCTCAAGATCCTTAATCACATCTTCAAGGTCCATTTTGTAATATAAGGCAACATAGGCTGGAGGGATTAGGACCTAGGTATTTGTGAGGCCCACATTCAGCTGGCCACAGATGAATTATTAATGAGCTCCCATAATCACAGATCTTATGTTGTGAGACAACAGATGTGTGAAATTGGCTGTCATTTGAAGAAAAGACTTGAAAAGATTTAAGTTTTATTTGAAGGGATTAGGGATGGCATGAGAAAGGAAGGCATGGTTTAAGCGGGGAACATTTCAAGTAGAAAAAGGCATCAAAGAAGCTGCTGAATTTAGGAGCAGCAAGTAATGCTATGAGGATTCAACCAAAAGCTGCTTGGGGTATAGTGAGTAAGCATAAAAGGATAGACAAGTGCTATGTCGTGAAGGCCTTTGAATGATGAGCTAAGAGAGCTTCACTTAATGAGGTGCTCTCAGATTGTGAGCCAAGAAATTTTTTTTTGTTTTTGGTACTGGGGATCAAACTCGGGAACTTGCACTTTCGAGGCAGGCAGCAGAACCACTGAGCTAAATCCCTGGCCCAGGAATCCTTGACTAAATGTGTGTCAGTCCAAGCAGTAGACAGTGGGGCTGAGGTGTGTGAGGGATAATGGGAAGAAAAGCATTTGTGGGTTGGGGGTCGGGAAGACATTTTGAGAACTGAAATATGAAGTTTACTAATAATACAGTAGCAAAATAGAATTTCAAAGGGTTGCTTACTAAACTCTTAAAATATTGAGTGCTCTGCCAAAAGTGTCTTTTATATGCTTAACTCTGGAGAGGCAAAAGTACTACGAATATTTACAGAATTTATAGTCTGATATGGGAAATGCAAACACTATGAAAATATACCTTGAACATTACTGTCGTTTAAGCACAGAATCAAGTATGATTTGGAGAATGGGTAGGCCCTACATAGAATTTGCCAGTGAGTTCATTTCTTTGTGTGTGATTTTAATAGTTAATTCTAACAAGTATAAAGGCCATAGATAACATATGAACTAGATGGAAACTACAAATCCCAAAGCCTTTACTTGTATTTTACTGACTCTTAAATTATACTGTAACTGCTTTAATAGCAACAAGATTATTTTTCCTTAATAGAACATATCTGACTTCAATGGCCACTGTGTACAAAACAAAAACATACCTACCTCCTTTAACATATTTATAGAATACTCATTATTATATTAAATGGTATAAAAACAAAGAGACAAACTGTCAGGGTCATTCCATAGTACTGCAGATTGAACCCAGGGCCCTCACACCAAGCTATAGCCCCAGACTTTAAATTTTTTTTTACTTTAAGAAAGGGTCTTGCTAAGTCACAGGCTCAGCTCACAATTTCTGTTCTCCTGCTTTAGCCTCTTGAGTCCTAGGATCACAGGCTTGTGCCACCATACCTGGCTTACTAATTCTTTTTAAATATTTCCTAAACATTATGAAAACAGTACCTGAGTATAGAATTTGAAGCTAGCATGTGTAAAAAGGTTGCAGTGCAGATATCTCACTGAAATGCAGCATGAATCACATAAATAACATTCTATCAGTTACATTTAAAAAAACTAGAAAGATGAAATCAATTTCAATAGTACTTTAATATATATTAAAATATCTTTAATGAGATCAGTATAAAAATATTTTACATTCTTCTTGGACAATTTCTTTAAAAACCGATGTGTATTTTATACTTAACAGCCCACTCATTTGAACACTAAATTGTTGTTGCAAATACTAGATCTGCATGTAGATACCAAAATTTGCAGTTGAAAAAGTAGATTCACATGCCCAAGTTGTTCAGGCCCACTTAAATATTTTCTGATAATTGAATATCACTTTTAAAATGAAAATGCAAAACATTAAAAATTTACTTTCTCAGGCACCCTAGCCACATTTCAAGTGCTCAGTAACAGCATGTGGCTATTTGGCTGCCACAGTGGAAAGAACAGCTTTAAAAAATGCTCTCCTCCCTAGGGTCACTTGGAACATTCATTTATTAAAATGTGGACATTTTGGCCTTATTTCTCATTTATAATAATGAGAAATTAATCATGAGTAATTGATATTCTCAATTTTCTTCTTGATTGGTTCCACCCTCCCCCCTCCTTCCTTTGGTTCATCTAGATTCTTTGTTCAATTCCTGCCACTGAACCAGTTCAGTATGAGATTACGGCCTCTCTTGAACCTACCTCTGTTTCAAGGTTACTCACTTTTAATCATGTGCAGCCCTTTGTAATTTGCAAGTACTTTATATTTTCAGAGTAACATCTAGTTTGATTGTAGCAACTGTATAAGTAAGTAGCAGATCTAGTATTCCATTTTATAGATAAGAAAATAACTAACAGGAGGTTTATAGAGTCTATTTGCCCAAGTCACATACATAATAAATTTATTTTTATGCTTTATTATCTTGAGTCCTTGCTGTGTTGCCCAGGCTGGCCACAAACTCCTGAGCTCAAGTGATCCTCCAGCCTCAGCCTCCCGAGTAGCTAACGACTATCAGGCATGTGCCTTTGTGCCCAGCAAAACCCAGATTTCTTAACTTTCATTCTAGTGCCTTTTGACTACACTGTAGCACAATATCCTCCAGGAAAGGCAGCCAGAGAATATCAGGCCCCATTCTTAACTTGTTCTGTCCAATCTTCAATGTATTATAAGCAGTCTTAAAAAGTTCTCAAGACCTTTTAAAATTTGTTTTTAGATCAACTCTTGTATCAGCTTAAATTACCTGAAATAAACTGGAAAACTGTCCTGTTACCCCAATGTTTATAAAAAGTTGAATATTCTCATTTTTAGAAAACATCATTCTTGGATTCATTTAAATTACTGTCTTGCAATGTGTTGGCCAAGAAGACCGCATGTCTTTGTTTATGTATATGTAGACCCATGAAATAAATGGGAACAAAGCTATTGCAGTGGCAAGAAGCAGCTGAATTCTTCCACCAACTGGATTCCTATGAAGACATGCAAAAATTATTATAAGTAAAAATTCAATAAAAATTATGGGTTGCTTGGGAGACCAAGGATAAAGATTGAATTGGTAAAACATAATTATACTTTATTTTTTCTCAATTCTTTTAACAAATTTTATTTAGATTATGTTTGCAGTACATAATGATTACTTTCATTATGGGGAATTGGCACATGTTAATTCTTTTTACCTTCCTTTCCTCTCCCTTTCCTACATTTCTTGGTCCCTTTGTCATTGTTATCAGTTCTTTAAAATGTAACTCACTCATTTGTGGAAACTTGCGATATATACTTAATACAACCCTTACTGTTTATATGTGTTGCAAATATCTTGTCCCAATCAAATGATTTCTTGTGAGGACCACTGATTAGACAATGTTAAAATTGGCATTTTCCAAGTGTTTAACAAATCTTTTCCTCCCCAAGCTCTTGAAAATATTGTAAACTTCTCTAGAAGTTATATTGTTTTCCCTCTTTTTATTACATCTATAATCTACCTGAAATTGATTTTTGTGAAAAATTTGAGGTAAGGGCTGTTTCACTTGACTCCATATGGATATAGACACTCTTCATTTAATGACCAAGTTCCCTTCCTGTGACTAGAGCATTAAACGAATTGGTCACTAAATGAGGAATTATATATAGTATGTACATTACAATATTCAGAACAAAGAACTGGTCTAAGGAAGCTCCAAGTTGGTGACTTTGCTTTTATTTGCCTAACTCCTAGAGGCAGTATTATAATGCATAACAACATAAAACTGCAGTATTGTACTGTACTGTACAATGAACAAAAATTATAGCACTGTAAACAAAGTGTACTGTACCAAAAAAAGACATGAAGGCTCTATAAACAAGATGTACAGAACTGTATCCAAAAAAAGACAGGTCATAAATCCAAACACTGAGCCATGGTCATAAGTCAGAAGAGTCGTTAAACAGGTAGATCGTTAAAAAGGAGTATCTGTGTTCGATTGTTCCAGGCACTATTTATCGAAAAGTCTACTTTTCTTGGGTACCCAGCACCACCTTTAGTATGAGTCAAGGACCCATATGTGTATGGATCTGTTCTGCACTGTATTTTATTAGTTTATTTATCACGTTACCAGTATAGGTTTATCTCCCCAGTTATTTAAATTTTCTTTAATTTTCCATAATACTTTATAATTTTATGTGCAAAGATTTTGCATGTTTTCTAGATTTATTTTTAGAAAGCTAATTATTTTGGTGTTACTATAAATGGTAACCTTTCAAAGTGGTGCTACTTTCTCATAGAAATGTAGTTGGTTTTTGTACATTGACCTAGCATCTAGTAATCATGCTAAACTCACCTATTCCAATAATTTTTTAGATTCTTTTAGATTTTCTATATATCCAATGATGTCTTTCACTCACAAATTATGAAAATTTTATTTCCTTCCAATTGTGCTTTTTATTTTATTCTTGCCTTATTGTACTAGAGCATGTTGAAAAATGGCAGTAATGGCTGATCTCAACTCATTCCTGATCACAGAGGGGAAGTTCTCAACTGCCCACCACTAAGTAAAATGCTTTAATGTGGATACCCTTTACCTGGGTATCTAAATCTGTATTCAGACCTGTATTCTGAGAGCTTTTATCATGAAATAGATGTTGAATTTTTTTGTATGTTCTTTACAGTTCAAGAAGAGTTTACTTTTTCATTTTATTTTGCTAACATAATGGAAAACATTGGTTTTAAAGTGATAAACTAATTGTATCCTAGAATGAAACCATCTTGATCATTGGGTTATATTTTGCATGTTTTAATTTGTTAATATTTTGTTTAGGATTTTTCCATCTATAGTCATGAGTAGGACAGCTGTATAATTTCCCTTTGTTTTGTAATGCTCTTGGCAGGTTTTGGTGTCAGGGTTGTTCTGTCCTCAAAAAATGAAATGGAAAGTGTTTCTTCTTTTTTAGTTTCTGGAAGTGTTTGTTGATGGTTGGTATTATTTTTTCCTTAAATGTTAGAGTTCACCAGCTATGCTACCTAGGTCTACAGTTTTCTTTTAGGAAAAATTTATGTTATGGATTCAATTTCTTTAATAGGTATGTGACTTCTTATGTAAGTTTTGGTCAGTTGAATTTTTTAAAAAGAATCTGTCCATTTAATCTAAATTTTCAAATTTAATGGCAAAGTTTTTTATAGTATCCTATTTTTGAAATATCTGTCAGGTATATCATAATGTTTTCTCATTCCTGATTTTTTTATTTGTGCCTCCTCTTGTTTGCGCTTGCTATTTTATTTATTTATTTTTTTCTCTTTAGTCTTGTCAGGGCTTGTCAGTGTTATAGATCATTTTAGAGAATCCATATTTGGCCTTATCAGTGCCCTCTTTTTAAATTTTTTTGGTGCTGGATGTTGAACATGGAGGCTTCGCACTGAACTACATCTCCAGCCCTTTTAAAAATTTTAAAATTTTCAGACAGGGTCTTACTAAGTCACTAAATTGCCCAGGTTGGGTTTGATCTTGCAACCCTGCCTTATCCTTCCAGTTTTGGAATGATAGGTGTGGGGACTTCATTCTCTATTTTTATGTCAATTTTTCTTTCAATGGATCTCTGCTTTTATGTTTATTTTCTTGCTACTTTGGGTATAACTTGCTGTTCTTTTTCAAACTTCTTGAACTGGAGAATTCCTGACTTCTTTGAAGTTTAGCTCATTAATTTTCAGCCTTTCTTGCTTTTTTTTTTCTTTCTTAAATATCTTAAATGTATGTAAATCTATAAATTTTCCTTTAATTATTATTTTTAGTTACATATCACAAATTTTGGTATGTAGTATCTCCTTATTCAGCTAAGAATATTTTCTAATTTCCATTTTTTAAGTAAAACATATATTGGTACATTTTAGATATATATATATATGATAATATTCATGATAGAGAATTTGTACCAGTGCATGATATATCTTGCTTCTTCTTTTTTTCCCATTCCCCGCTCCCTTATGTACAAAAGCTTTGTTTCCATTTCTTCCTTCAATTTTTTTCTTGTCCCTTCTTTCATTTCCTCCTCTCTCCTCCCTTGTTCCCCTTATCTGAACATTTTCTTCCCATTTCCCAATGTCTTTTGTGGACACAAATGTTATGTGAAAGGTTATTTCCTAACTTCTAAATATACAGTGGTTAACTATCTTTTTGTTAATGATTTCTAGCTTAATTGCACTGTGTTCAAAGAACATATTCAGGATTTCAGTTCTTTGAAATGTGTTCAGACTTTTTTTTTAAATGGCCAGTCTATTTGTAAATATTCAGTGTGTGTGTGTGTGTGTGAAAGAAGATGGATTCTACCATTCTTATTTGGATGTTTTATGTATGTCCATTAGGTCAAATTTTTTATTGTGTATTTAAAATCTGTGTTTTCATTGTTAATCACTGCATTAGTGACTAAAAGAAGTGTGTTATGTTTCCCAAAATAATTGTGGATTTTTCAATTTTTCCTTTTAGTTCTGTCGACTTTTGTTGTATCTATTTTGAGGCTTTATTAGTTGGTACATAAAAATTTAGAATTGTTTTATGTTCTTGGTATAAGCTGTTGTCATTAAAAATTATCTTTTTGGGCTGGGGATTTAGCTCAGTGGTTTCGCCGCCTGCCTTGTAAGCGCAAGGACCCAAGTTCGATTCCTGGTACCAAAAAAAAAAAAAATTTATCTTTTTGTAGCTGCTTAAATCCACTTTTAATAAAGTGGTTCTGAGGTAATCAGATAACCATGTGAAAAAAGATAATGTTGGATTCTTTCCTTCATTTCTTTAGGGTAAATTTTAAATTGTGTGTGTGTGTGTGTCTTGTGTTTTTATTTGTTTGTGTTGGTAATGATACTGGGGATCATACTCAGGGCCTTGAACATGCTAGGCAAGCAAGTGCCACTGAGCCATGTCCTCGGCTCAATTCTAAAGATTTAGATGTAAGAATGAAACTATGTATTACAAGAAAACTTATGTAAATTATTTTACAACCTGAGAGGGAGGCATGTTTTCCTTACTATACTCCAGATGCAGAAATAATAAGCAAAAACATGGATAAATTTGGCTATGATATATCAACAGTAACCAAAAAAATTCTTTTCATGACAAAATATACTTAGCATTAGCAAAGCAATAGGATAATAACAAAATACAAAAAGTATTTTCAGCTTATAGACAAAAGGTAAGAGAACTAATATATACAGAGCTTCTAAAAATAGAGAAGACCAACAACCTGAGAATCAGGTTAAACCTGTATCTCTAGAGGATATGCCCCTCTCTCCCTCTCTCCCTCTCTCTCTCTCTCTGAAAATCTCTGACTCGATTATTTAGTACATCTGCATTTAATGTAATTTCTGAAACATTTGAGTTTGAATCTCTATCTTACCATGTGCTTCCTATTTGTCTACTTGCTCTATACTTGTACCCATTTTTTCTGTCTTCTACATTCAATTTCTATTCTTTAGAGGTTACCCTAAAGCCTACAAAATGAATCCTTGACTTATCAGAGTCTAATATAAATTTGTACTTTAACTTATTGCAGAAAAATCCAAGATCCTTAGAATACTTTGACTCCATTTAGCCCCTTCCAATCTATATATTACTGTTGTCACGTATTTTCATTCTATATATTTAAGCTCCACCAAACATCATTATGCCTGTTTTATAAGTTAATATTGATTTATTTGTACATACCCTCCCATATATCTTTTCTTTGTTCTTCGTTTCTGAATTTTTAAAGTTCCTTCTAACATTGTTTTCCTTCACTTTGAAGAATTCTTTTTAGGCTGACAACTGCCTGTGACTATGTGATGTGGGCCTCATAGGAAACTATGTTACTCAAGAACATATGAGTGATCATTAACATTTAAATCAACTGATATTCGCTTTCCTTCAAAAAGGAAAGATTTCTTCCAAAAGATTCCTGTTTTCATTTGTGTATCAAAATTTCAATGACTGCCTAACTTGATTATCCTGAAGATCATCTGATTTTAACTAAAAAGTTGGAAACTTACTTTGAGGACTTGTGGCAGAGGCTCGTCCATGCTGTGATAATCACCAGACCGGACAGCTCCCTATAAAATAGCATATATTTCATATTCTGAAGTGACTGCAACATCACGTATTTCAGGTCAGTGGGAGGAACAATATAACCAAGAAAACAATCCTGCATTTGATTTGTTATTTTTACATTTTCAGAGGCTTAATTATAGGGTGAGCTCAAACCAATCCAAAACTGGAGCACAGACTGCAGGAGACTGGAGGAGACTGCAGAGGGAAATGGTTTGTAGTATGAATCAACGATTAGGGCGACTATGTGCTTTTAGTTACATGTACTGTAAGCCCATATCTTTTACACAGAATAAACAACAATCATTCAGACATGGTGCCAGTAGGAGCCCCTCCTTGAATTCACCATATCTCCTGGGCTTCAAGTTGGAGGCAATTCAGCCCCTTTGGTCTGCATTCCCATCTGCAGACTGAGCTGGACTTCTCTAGTTTTCCATGGGTAGCAAAGCAGTGCCTCATCCACAGTCCCTAACTTACAGGTCTCTGAAGGTTGATGTTGGCAGGTGTCAGCAGAGAGGTAAGAGAAAAGAGGATTCTTAATAAGACCAAGAGTCATGGGTGGGAGGAAGCAAAGGAAGAGGTGATAAAATAGGGACAAATGGGCATGACATAGAGGAGATGACATGAGACACACTGAAGCAAGGCTACCAAAAGTTTGACTTAACATACTGGTCTCTGACATGGCTCTTCACACTTGTAGATAAGAGTTCTTCTTAGCCAGGGCTGAATCAGAGTGCTGACGGAGTTTTCACCCTATTAGGTTGGACTGAACATTACTGTATGTACTCTTGCTGGTTACAAGGAGGTCAAGGTCCTGAGACCTTGAGGGTAATATAACGAAATAAGTAAAGACTGCTTGTAGTAGTAATAATGGAGTTGGGTAGACAGAGCTGGGTTTGAATCCTGGCTTCATCATTTTTCTCAGCTTATAAATGATATAATACCTTCCCTGCTCTGTATGGTACAGTTGGGGGAATTAAATCATCATTGTGAACAGACAAGATGAGGTTTTAAAGGAATGAAAGATTTCTCAGTTCTACCCCTACTCCCAGCCCAAGAGCAAAAGTCACTGCTCACCTGCCTTCTTCCTCGTGTACGATGTTGTGCTGTGCATGAAGCAAGAGGGAGTATGCCAAGCCGGCAGCCCACACCAGGCAGAACAAGGTGTGTATCGCAGAAACACTCTTCCAAATAAAGCTACCTAAAAGTAGATACCCGGATGCTCTTAATCATGGAATCACATCCAGAAATAATGATCTCTCTGTTCCTGTTTTGTCATAATCTGCTTTCAGGAAGGATACTCCAGAAAAGAAAAAAAAACTTTATTGAGGGGCAACATAGAGATTAGAGCAGTAATTATAAGTGGGCGTATTTCCTTTCCTATGACAATTACCCTTATTTTCTTTGGGAACCCAACCTCACCACACCCCTAGGCTGTGTCCCAGTAAAATGGACCTTAGGTCAACCAAGCACTTATCACCTTAGCCACAGTGATTTGGCTCACGACAAACAGATGATGATCCAGGCAACAATTCAGCTTTGACACTTTGATAGAGTGAAGAAACAATCTAGCTGGGCGTGGTGGCACACACCTGTAATTCCAGCATTTAAGTGGCTGAGGCAGGAGGATTGATAAACTTAAGTATCTCCCAGGTAATTTAGCGACTTGGCAAGACCCTGGTTCAAAGCAAAAAAAAGTTTTGGCGATGTAGCTGCGTGAAAGCCTTGGGTTCAAGCCCCAATACTGAAGAGAGGAAAAAAAAAAATAGAGGAAGGGAAGGAGGGAATCTATGTTCTCTGGGAACTTCAGGGTACCACTTGGAGGCCAGGAATGAAGTCAGGGCAGCACACAGAGTGAAGTCTGTGTGCATCAATGCCTGGCATCAGCACTACCCACAGCCTTTCCAGGAAATTACACCAGTATATTTTCTTCTTAGCTTACAGTACATGTGAGTTTAGTTTGGTTTTTTTTCCTGGCTTATAATCAAAGGAACTCCACTTAACTGATCCACCCTAAAGATGTAGACAGCCAACTAGGAGCCTAATCAAGGAGCATGGCCATCTAGAGAACCAGAATTTTCCAAAGTGAGAATCAATAGTCTTTATCCTAAGGGTTCTGAGAACTTTCGAGCCCCACATGTAGAAGCTGTTTTAATTTTCTGTTAAGAATTATCTTTCAGGATTAATAATTCCTGTTCACAACAAAGTGCTTATAGCTGATGTAAAATATACTTTTTTTCCTGTTAAAAGACACCATTTTATAGTATAAAAGTGTTTAACTTACAATTTGTTGAGTCTCTTAGGGCCATGAAAGGTGAAGTAGCTACCTTTTGCCTAGCATTGGTTAGGTAGTCTGTAAGTAATACAAATCTTTTTAAAGTGAATGTTTCACATACATAGCCAGCTGTAGACATAATAAAAAGTCCAAGGAGCAGGGTACAGAATAAATATGTGATTAAGCTTCTGTTTACAGCCACCTGTGACGCGCCTGGCCATATTACTATGGTTTGAACACTTATGTCTCCCTTGAGTTCATATGCTGACATCATACCCCTAAGATGAGAGTACTGGGAGGTAGGGCCTTTGGGAGGTAATCAGTTCATGAAGAGGAGCTCTCCTGAAGGAATTAGTACCCTTATAAAATGAGAAATGTCCCTTGTCCCTTCCACCATGAGAAGACAAAGAGAAAGGAGCTACCTGTGACTGGAAGCAGGCTCTCACTCAACACCAAATTATTTGCTAATGCCTTGTTTTGGAATTCCCAGCCTCCAGAAATAAGAAAATTAAATTTCTGTTGCTTATCAACAACCCAGTTTATGGTATTTTTGTTGTAGCAACCTGAACAGATTAAGACACACATCTAATTTATGCAAAGACACACATCTGGGCTTATGCAAAAATATATAAGACATGATCCTGCTTTTAAGGGGTTTAGAGCCTAGTAGAGAAGACCATACAATACATTGCTGCAGGTACTATGGCAGTATAAGGGGAGATTAGAAAGGGTGACGTTTAATGAAACTCTAGATATATTATAGACATTATTAACAATTTCTATATGTAAGTGTTACTTCATATACAGACTTTGAATAAATTAATAAAATAATTCACAGGCCTGGTGCTGCTCTAAAAAGAATTTGTAAAGAAAGTTGATCTGGGTTGTATACAATAAATACGTAACAGGCATTGATTGCCTTTGAGTATGAGAACACAAGAAGTGCACTTAGATTGTTGCTGATTTCACATGAGTTTGGTGGCTAAGGAAATCAATGCAGTGACTGAAACTCTTCTCTCATGAGCTAGACAGCTTAACCAGCATTCCACATTGGGCTGAGAGGTCTTGGGGCCAAACTGATGAAGAATGGCTACATATAACAGGTCCTTCTGAAGTTTTCCTAAAGATGGGTCAGGATGATCTAGATTAGAAGGAGCCCCTCTTTTTATCAGAAATGAGAAGGAATGCTGAGAGTCTTGTTTTTCTCCTGAAAGTTTGGCAGGTGGATTCTCATCATTATAAGAAAATCTGATTTGCTGGATCTCCATTCAGAATCCAAAGTTCATACCTGTGACAAGAGGGTTAAGTCCAACAAGCAGGGTCAGCACAGCAGGTATCATGTACACTACCTGTTAGCAAAGAGAGAGGAAATATGTGGGTAAGAAGTATGCCCATTACACAAGATGTTTACAGGTATCTAGGAAGTGAAGAAACTTGAGATCAGTGGTTGTCATGTTCCATATTTACCCTCAGGTTTCAGTAACTGTTGGGGAAGTGGTAATCTCTGCTCTTGTGTAATCTGATAACCATGTCAGGTTGTAATTCCATCTCCTTCCTTCCAGACTGTTGGTTATTCCAGGGAAGACTCGTTCATCTTCAAACTTGAGCACTAAGCATAGAGTTTTGGTCTGAAGACATGCTGAATTCCTAGTCTCTCCCAAACAACTTTCATGCCCACATAGCCATCCCCACTTGCATAAAATTAAAGGTTCTTTGCAAAGTGGGGAAGAGAGGTGGTCACAGTTACATAGATGGCCTTGCTGGGTTTGACCTCATGGAACATCTGGCCTAATGGTCCATCTCTGCAACTGAAACCACAGAAAGTTTTCTAAAAGTGAATGGATCAGATGTGCTATATACCAAGAGTGAGCTCTTCCCTTGGACACTGCTAAGCTGGTTAGGAAGTCAGAAGACTGGACCTAGGGTGGTCCTATTCTCAAGCCTCAGAGCAAGCAATCTCTGGTCAAACTTGGTATTGTGTGTGAGCATTTTGTGGGCAGAGGGCAAGTAGGGAGGGTAGGTTTATAAGAAGTCTGGAGAATTTTCAAGAAATGTAGTTGCTTGACCACATCAGTTGTATTGCTTACATCAGAAACTTTTAGTTTATTTGTAAGTTGTGAGAGCTGAACATTTTAAGTGATGTTTTTGCTTTAAAGATATGTCTTGACCTTGGGAAGAAAGAATATTTGTATTACAGACCTTTCCTTCTCTATCCTTAATGATTACTGGAACATCAGCCAGTACTGACATTTGCAAGTCAGGTGATCTATCAAAGGTGGACAGTTGTGCTGCTTAGGGTTAGCCCAGCATTTAACAATCTTTAATGTGCCCGGGATCTTAAAACTCAGATTTCAATTTGGGAAGTTTGAGGGGAGGCTCCAATATTCTGCTTTTCTAACAAGCTCCCAGGGTGCTACTGCAGTTGTTCCAAGGGCCACACTTGGAACACTAAGGGGTTACATCCCCACCCCGTGAAAAACTACGTGACTCAGCCACACACACACACACACACACACACACACACACACACCAAGAATGAGAGAACCCAAAAGAGCCTGAGAAAGACTGATAGATAAACACACACATCATACAATGTTTAATTGTGTACTCAATAAGAAATGTTTGGCAGAGATTTTTAAAATGTACATTCAATGGATCATACATCTGTCATTAACAGATTAAGAGGTGTAAAAGGAGTATCAGTGCATTGTAAACATACGAACAAAACAGTCCTTTAAGCTAAGTAACAGTTTCGCTTGGCAATCCTGACACATTAATTCGTATTTAAGTGCATTTCTTTATCCTAAATGAGAGAAAAGAAATTGAAGGTAGAGAAACTGAAAATAATTTCTTTTTGTACAAAAGTTAAAAGAATGCACAGTAAAAATATTAAAAAATGAACTTAGTAGAACTCACTTATAATGGCCTTTTAAAAAACATTTTAGTTGGATTTGTAAAAAAAGAAAAACTTAAGGGCATCATAATACTCAATGGGCATTGAGTACCATGGCACTCATTCCCAATACCACTCTTCCTTGTCCACCTGTCACCAGGAAAAGTATTTTCCTAGTTCCTTTCACAGCTGGGAGTAGTCACAGTTCCAGCAATGAAACATAAGGAGTCAAATTCCAGGAGAAAGGCTGATAATCTACAAAGCATTTAACAGCTGGTATGGATCAATCAGAATGGAACCCCACAATATACCTTACTGATGAGTACAAACTGAATTCCAGCCCTGTCTGAGTGGCTTCTTATTATTAAAAAGGATGAAAACACCAGAAGGAAACTTATTTTGTTCCTGCTTCACTTCTTTTGACTTGGAGATGAGATGTTTGGAGCTGCAGCAGCTATGCTATAAACCTGAGGATGGCAGAGAAGAAAGTTCAGGCCCTTGATGATACTGTTGACCACGAAGCATCTACCTTTGGGAATCTTAGTGAGTTTTTCTGTATTTTCATAACTGATACTAGTCATGTTTTCTACTGTGTACTGCTTTGTGCATTCTGATACTGATATCCTCCATGAACACAGTGAAGTAGGGAACATGGAAATGAATTGGCTAAAGTGACAGTCCCTAGAGTACAGTAACCTATCTGTGTGTCCATTCACTTTTATTTAAGAGTCAACACAGGCCAGCCTCAGTGGAGCACACCTGTAATCCCAGCTACTTGGGAGGCTGAGCCAGGAGGATGGCAAGTTTGAGGCCACCTTGGGCAATTTATTAAGACCCTGTCTCAAAAAATATAAATAAATAAAAGAGGGCTGGGAATGTAGCTGACTAGCAGAGAGCTTCCTTAGCATGTGTGAAGCCCTGGGTTCAATCCCCAGGACTGGGGGTAGGTGGGGGAGCCAACACAGGAAGGACTTCTATAATGCAAGCTCTATATTAAGTTGCTAAAGACTCCCGAGAAGAGAGAAGAACTTACCCTTGTTCTCCTGGAACCTGGCACGTACAGAGCCAACTCCAGTGCTTTAATGTGAAGCTGAACGTGCTGGTGCTACAGTAAGTTTTCAAAGGAAGAATGCTCAGAACCTATGGGAAAGATGCAGAGTTTGTTTTTTCAAAGAGACAGTATTTGGAGACTGTCCTTGAAGTTGGATAGACTATGACACACAGGAATTCTGGGGCCAAGATACAGTGACTATCACTGCTGGGCTGGCTTCGAAGACCAGGCTGGGAAGGTGGTTGGGGCCATACTGTGGAGGTCCTCAAATCCAAGTGGAGTTTCAACTTAGAGAGCTTGGGAAATGACAAAAGATTTTGTGGCAGACGATGACCTACAGAAGGGTCCTAGGAGCAGAAGAGATTAGAAGCTGACACAATCAGGAAGCCGTTCCATAGGGCTGAACTAGGAATGGGGCAGATTGTCAGGATGTGGGGCTTATTTTCCTATTGGGTCATCTAGACATGAAGTGAAAGGTAAGATGACAGGTGCCATAAAGATAAACAACTGGATCTAGATAGTTTCATTTTGGGGGTGGTTGAGACAGGGTCTCACTTATGTAGTTCAGGCTGGTCTTTCTTGTTGGGTTACTTTTTAAATTTTATTTTGTTTGAGGGGATCTCAAGAGGCCACAGTAAGGAACAGATAGATGCTAAAGAGGTTTTTTAGGCAAGGATGACTCAGTGAACATTCTGCTGAAAACGAATGGCTAAGTCAGGAGGAGGAATGGGTTTGGGAGGGAAAGATGCTGGGGAGAACCTTAGGCATATTTGAGGAACAATGTGATGTTTAGGTGGATATATACTGGAATCCTTTACAAATTCGATATTACGGGTATCTGACATTTGGTCTATAGGGTCTAGACTTTCACATCGTAATCCCCACTGCTTTCATTTATTGCTCATCTGTACATGGTCAACATTACTCTAAAGGGAAGAGTCATCTGCTTGTTGATACTGTATAAGACTGTGCATTTGTATTGAAAGACTGCACAAAATCCCAATGTTTCAGGAAATGTATGGGATGGTCTCCCCCTCTCCCAAATGGTTCAATTCAGAGCATTGGCTGAATGAATACTGTAGGTTTTATGGACTTTAGTTTCTATAAAAGTAACTCACTGAATTAGCAGAATCACAAAACTTAAGCCTGCCATTTAAATATTTACTAGTTTCTGACTAGAAACTGATAAGATCGGTCAGTCGATCTCGAGGTCAACTCTAGGCCCTCAAGAACGGTGTCTTCAGTGAGGTCAGCTACCCAGAGGGAATACATCTCTTGCTGTCTGTAGAACACTAGTTTCAGGACCTCCCCGCCCCCAGCCTCACTGCATGGAGGCTACAAAAATCTATGGAAACTCAAGTATTTCCATATAGCCCCCACGTGTCGTAAAGGTTAGCAATAATGCATGTGAAGTGGCTAGCACATTGTAGCCACTTAGTAAATGATAGGTACTCATTATTGTTATTTTTTAAAAGTTAATTATTATTGTAAGACAGGGTCTCGCTAAGTTGCTGAATTGCCCAGGCTGGGCTTGAACTTGACATCCTGCTGCCTCAGCTTTGTAGAGTGCTGGGATGATAGGCGTGCGCCACCGATTGGAGCTTCAGCTTGTTATTAAGCCTGCTGTAATTAATGTGATGAGGTTTGCTGATATATCTCTCTGCCTGCTGTGGGAATACCTGTGTCTCCAGAAAGTTCAGAATTTACACACACACACACACACACACACACACACACACACACACTGATCCCTGTCCCCACCCCCCACCCCCCAAAATGTAGGGAAAAGAATAGCAAAGGGTTTGATTTGTAAGATATTAAGTAAGGGAAGCAGAAAGAACCGTGTGTTTTGTGCAAGGTAGGACGATTCTGACAGCGGCTCGCACTCACCACCCACAGCTCGGCGTCAGGATCATTGACCTGGAAGGCCAGAAGAGCAGCTGTTAGCAGATGCACCGTCCCACTGCCTTCCCACTCTGCGCTTTTTTTCACGTTTTATTCATTTGCTAAGAGGCGGGCCGCAGTAGGCCCCAGGGGGCAGAATACGAATAAGACTTAGCCTAGCACGAGTCAGGACGGCTGAAGGGGCTCTGCCCACACCACAGGCGGGTCTGACAGACACATAGTAATGAAAAGAACCGTGGGGGCCTCGGAGAGGACGCGCCGAAACTTGACGGGCATTTTAGGACCTTCCAGTTTCAAGAGAGGAGGGACCCCAGTGCGGGCTGGAGAGGACAGCCACGCCGCCGGAGGGCTGACCCGGGACTGCCGAGGCCCGGGCGGCCGCGGGCTCCGGGGTGGCAGTGCGAGCACCGTCGGGGCCTGGGCGGGGACACCC